TGTGCTCTGCCTAGTGCAGTCCCCCAAGAGCAAAGTTGAAGAGAACCTGTTCCATCCCTCCTGTTTGCCACATGCAGTACCACACAGTGACACACTGATGGCTCCTTGAGTTTCCAAACCACATGCAGTTTAGGGGCAACCAGGAAAGGGTATAGAAAAAACCCAGCCCTGTTCTCTTTGGAAAGATCACTGCCCAAGTGCACAGAGCTTGTCCTGCCCCCGCCCTGCCATCATCTCAGAGGGTGGCGGACAGAACCGCCACCAGAGCCCAACTGCATCTCCCGCTGTCTCGAGCTCCAGTACCCCACCCTGCCTCGATGCCTACTCCTCCCGTCCCAGCCCCACACCTCCAGAAGGTGTCCGTGGCCTTGCAGTGTCCGAGCTCAGGGTCACTCCATGTACTATCCTCCTGAATCACCATCTGGTACCCAATCCTTTCTTCACTAGGGCAGAATCGCCTAGAATTGTACAGTCTCAGAGTCCAGAGGAGTTTGATAGGCCATTATATTTTATATCCTTTCATTTTACTGGTGAGGATGCTAGGAGCCAGTGCAGCTACGAGACTGACCCAGGGTCACACCTTCCATCTATTAATGACGGCATGAATTAATGATTATCTCTGAAACTTCCTATTATGTCAGTAGAAAATGTGCTTTTTAAAAGAAGCATGGCAGCAAATAATTTTCCCCACAGAAAAAGAGAAGCGCCACCACCATGATTCCATCTCTATTTCTAGGCCACACTTAGAGTTACCATCAAGAGCACTTTGCATTTGCAAGTTTCCAGATAAATTATTTTTCTCATCATTACCGCTTACTATTAAAATGTTCATTGGATACCAACATTCTGGAAGAATGGTGGTACCAAATCAGATACAAGCTATATCCGTACAGCCAAGTCCAAGTGCAAGTACACTGATGCATTGTCTGCTGCAGTTGGACACACACAGGGTATGTGGGGCAGCCCAGCTGGGTCTTTAAAACAAGCAATGTTCATTCACTTGTGTGTGTACAGACAATAACTGGGACTTCTATCTACCCCTCATACCCTTGTCGTAGTATAGAAGTCATTGTGTCTGGGACTTCCCTGGTTGCTCAGTGGTTAAGAATCCGCCTGCCAATGCAGGAGACACAGGTTCGAGCCCTGGTCCGGGAAGATCCCACATGCCGCGGAGAAACTAAGCCCATGCGCCACAACTACTGAGCCTGTGCTCTAGAGCCCACGAGCCACAACTACTGAAGCCTGCATGCCACAACTATTGAAGCCCGTGCACCTAGAACCTGCGCTCCGCAAGAAGGGAAGCCACGGCAATGAGAAGCCCGCACACTGCAATGAAGAGTAGCCCCCACTCACCGCAACTAGAGAAAGCCTGCACGCAGCAGCAAAGACCCAACACAGCTAAAAAGAAATGAAAAAAAAAGAAGAAGAAGAAGAAGTCATTGTGTCAGCAGAGCATAAAGCAAAGGGGATGTCACGAGAACCAGAAATGATTATGAAGTCAGATAATCAGATCACAAATGGCCACATCTTACTTCTGATTAATCAGGTTAATTTCACAAGAGCCACTACTATCGAGAAGCCATGACAAACCCACCTGGCCAGAGTATGCCTCACACTTCCCCAATACTAGTTCTAATCCTCTGCCCACTACTCCCCAAATCCTGCCCCAGAAAATTGTACTTGGGCTCACAAACTGGTAGGACTTGGCCAAAGGTGACTCACAGAGAAGAAAAAACTAAGTTAGGTGCCAACATTTAGAGAAAAAAAAAAAAATAGGAGGTTTAACATACAACTCCAGATTTCTGGCTTCTTAAGAAATAAAAATAAAAATCAGAGATCTGGCTTTGCGGGCCAACACTGCATAGGGCCTGCACTTCAGAGCTGAACAGCAGGTGCTCAGAGTAGAGGGGCTGGCCCTCCCCCAGTGGAAACATTCCCACCATTGTCTTAGGAAGCCTTTTTTACCCATTAACCTCACCTGCCTGTTCTTAAGGTTTTCCAGTGAATTTTCTGGGGTGGAGAAGAATAGGAATATCACTTTTTAGTGATGGTGTATTTTACAGAGGTCATTTCTCCTCAGGCTAAGAGTTATGGGAGGCTGAAACAATTTAGATGGACAATTCAGGCATAATGAGCTTCTTTTTGAAGTAAACGTTTTTGTTTAGAATCCTCATGTTGACAGTCTTCCCATGATCTAATTTTCTGGGTAGCTGATTAAGTCTAAGTCATTTTTAGCCTCTACAAGCACAGTCACAAAGAGAGAAATCGACAAGTGTCTGCAGATGCCTACAACTGTGCTATATGTGGGTACCGCTTTACAAAGTTTCAAGATCGCTTCAACAACCTCGTAGCGGCAGCCCAGCTAGCTCCAGATTTTGAACGCAGTGGAAAGTTCTTGTTTGTTTTTGTTCTGCTGGGCTAGCGCACGTCTGCGTGCTAAGGTCTTAGCAGGGAGACTCAGCCCCTGTTCAGCAGGATGGAAAATGACAATGTGATTGATTGGGATCTCGCCACAAAGTAATCATTTCAACAGGAAAATATACTGTCTACATATTTACAAGGGTTAGAGCCCAAAGTTGTGTAGGAAGGGAATAATACATCAAAACCTCAGCTGAAGAAAATTAGAAAGCGTTCGTATGGAATGGCCAAGATGAACTGGGACTGCCAGAACACTTTCACCCACATGATGTACATGTTAACAACCTGATGATACGATGACAGGAAGACACATAAAACAGATATTTTTCCTGGCAGAGAGCCCTTCTGTAAACCTGGAGATATTTAAATAACCCATCTTAGCCATGATCCTGGCTAGGATGAGGATTGAAAAAAAGCCATTGGATTGCATAACAGATTTCTTATGCATGCATTGCTCTTCCTGCCAGCTTCTGGGTTGGGTTGAGAATGTTGCATCAATCCATGCAATCTTAAGATGGAAAAAATTAAAACTGGGAGACAGACTAAAATAGCAGGACTCTGTCTCGTTAGCTTTAGGACATCTGTACAAAGATGAATGCAGTTATGGGAGGATACAGACTCCTTTGTCATGTCAAGAAAAATGAATCTTTAAAAGTATACCTGTATTCCCAAAGATTTCTAACGGAATGAGGATCAGCCTTTTGAGTCTCCATTATTCTTCCACGGCGTGCTGCAAACTCTCTGAGGTAATAGGCTTCTGTATAATACTATAATACTGCTCTTGAGCCCTCGGTAAATGTTGCCACTTCCTCTTCCCCGTATACTTTCTGACTGGTAGCTGGTTTATGTTTTACTCTTTTTTTTTTTTTTTTAAATGTTTTACTTGCTCTTGTGACTGATTTCTCGCCTTTAATGTTACACTGAACAGAAGCTACGACAAGCAAAATCAGGGCACCACAGAGCTTCTTCCCTTTGGTTTTAGATTCTCCAGAATAGGAGGAACTAGCAAATGAATGAATGGACTGGTGCTTTTCACCTGTCTGTAAATACATGTTCGTGTCTCTTGGTTATGGACTGCCCTTGTGAACAAGTAATTATTTAAAGTTTAATTTTCATCTACACATCAGAGATGGAGATATGGAATTGCTCAGGCTTTTCTCTCAACCTCTCTCCCTCTTTGATTTTCAAGATAAAGCAAATTAATTAATGTGCACTTTTCGACTGAAGAAATGATTAAGACCCAGCTGTGTCTGTGAAATTATCAGTTGGGATGCAACACTCGGGACTTGTTAATGCTTTTTTTGGCAACGAAGAAGAGAGACACAGGTATCTCATATTAAGTGTGTTCTAAAAAGCATAAGTTAGCAGTTTGTTTGCCAGGTTAACTTTCAAAGACATCTAAGTTACTAAGTTTGACTTTATTACACACCAATCTTAAATGATTGATGTACTACTGTGAAATAGCTTTGCTCAAAACAAGACCTTTGGCAGTCTACTTCAAAGGCTTTACTAAGATAAAAAGATAGCCCCATTTTACATTAATTTCCCTGATAGATCAACACTTATTTGAAATATGCCTGAGAATTATGCAATATGTACTGTCTTATGAGTTTCCTTTCACTGTATCCAGCAGCCCCATATGGGAATGTTTTTACTTCTAAGATTTAGAAGAATTTTTTCTACACATGAAGAGCATCTTTAAGAAAATGCAGATGGGTAAAACAGTATATTGGCATTTTTATTCACTACTGTTTCATTGCAAGGTAGTATCTGACACTAAAATATACAGAGATATGTTTAAAAATCAACAATACTATTTCAGGATGTGGTTTCAGGTGCTCCCTATAACATTCTCCACAGAGTCTGAAAGGATCCATTTATTTCTTTTTAAACGTAGATTCTGTGATTTTATTTATGTCTAAGGTCACTACAGAATTACTACAGAATTACATAAATGAGTGAAAATCTCAACTAAGGGGTCAAGCAGGTAATGGAAATCAGTGAACTGGGCCAGTAGAGTGGGGACGGGGGTTGGTGAATGGGAGCATGGTGCTTGAAGGGAACTGGCATTTAGGTCATTATATCAGATATTTAATTTTTCAATACTGGGCAACTACTTCAAAATTTTGAAAGATTCTGGGCTGCCCAAACAACTCATGTCTGGGGATGGCATGCTGCTATAAACCTGCTGAGAAGAAAAAAGATGTATTTACCTTAAAAAAAAAAAAAAAAAAAAGCTTTCTAAATCATCCACATTTTTTGGAATGCTATTTCGTGACTGTGAAATAGCCACCCACAATGGCCTAACACCGACTCAGGACAAAGCAGTTAAGGCTCTGAGTTACTTGTTTGGTAGAAGCTTTGCAAAAGGGCCCAGATGCATGGGGAAGGAGGCTGCAGTGGGTAATGGACACGGGTTCCTTATGCAAAACACTGTCATCGGTGAATTCACAGTGGAAGAGACAGGAAACTGGAGCCCCTTTCTCTAAAATTTATCTTCAAGCCCGTTTCATTTTATGGAGTGGAATAAAGCTGACTTGTAAAAGAAAGAAAAAAAAAATCCCTTCTTTGCTCTTTGGCAGGGTGAAGTAGAGAAATAAAGTCTCCCCGCTGAACTACTATGAGGTCAGAAGCCTTGCTGCTATATTTCACACTGCTACACTTCGCTGGGGCTGCTTTCCCAGAAGATTCTGAGCCAATCAGTATTTCGCATGGCAACTGTAAGTATCCACAATCTCACTCTCACTCTCACTCTCTCCCTCTGTGGGCACTTGAGCCTGCGTCAACAGGCAAAACATACAAATTAAACATTTCATGAAACAGGAAACTTGTTAGTCACTTTAACTTGTGTGGATGGCAGAGGTAGATAATTCAAGTCTAGCCAAAATTGGTGGGATGACTGTTCTGTAACTCCAATAAACGTGGTTGTGAGGATTTGAGACATCCCTCGATACCTCCGATGAAGTCTCAGTTACTACAAGGAGGCTGTGATCATGCCTGGAAACCAGCTATGGGAGAACATCACCGTCATCTGGGTGTTGCCAGTACTCCACATTTTCATAAGTAATTACGACAGAGGCATTGTTACAAGATAACAGAAAAGAAGACTGTTTTTGAGTACTTCAGAGACAAAAATGAACTTTTGTTTAGACTTAGAAGTTTCATCATTGCTAGATTTGGATAGAGAGATTCTGAATTCATAGTAGACTGACTTTTACTGCTTATAACTTTCTTTTGATCTCTGCTTCATTGTCAAGGGTAGAAAGCAACATGATGAAAAAGTCAGTTTCCTCTTCAAAAAGAGGAAGGTTCTACCTGTGTGTGGGATGAAATAGACAATTACTTTTTTTTTTCCTTCTCTCCAAAAGATAAAATATTTTGTCACAGTAAAAGTGAAAGCATTTTACCCAAATGTCTATCTTCACAGTAATAATCTCCAAACACTGAAGGAACCTTAAAAAAGTATTTGACAGTAATACTAGGATACTAAAGAGATCTACCCAGCTTTCTGCTGGACGGTCTAGGTTGTAAAAGGAAATAATTTTATATGAAGGGGAGGTGTCAAGCCTTGACAGCTTTGAGAACAAAAGTCAGGGTATGACTAAGGACCAAACTGTGTAGTTTGAGACCATCATTCTTGAAGTGGCAGAGTCCACCTAACTTACGGTACCAAACCTTAATAAGCATTTATTTATGTCCATTTGAGGCAGGTATTCTATCTTTGGTGCCCCTGTACTGAAGAGACCCCGGGCCCAAATGTGCTGCTTCAGTGGACAGTCAAATCTTTGATAGGAGAGAGACATGAATTGTTTTAGCAACCTCCTTGATCAGTGGGTTAATGAAATTTCAGAGCAGTGAGGAAAAAGCACAAGACAATCCCATACTAGGCTTGATTGTGAGTGAAATATACTGAGGCTCTCTAGTAAGAGTGAGTCATGCTCAGATGCTACAGGGGTTTAAGGTGTAGGGGTCTGAGCACACATCTGTGAATGGATTACAAGTCATTATTTCCACCCCTCTCACCCTCAAAACAACTGCCTTTTAAGTGTGACTCGTCTCTCTTTTCTCCTTAGTTTCTCTGGAGGATTGCCAGTGCTCTGGAGATTGTAGGTTTAAAGGCAGAGAGATTTTTGAGGTGTAGGTATTTCCAAAGGTCAAATATTATTACAAATTGCCCACTCTCAGCTAAAGGGAATTGCAGAAAAGGAGAAATACGCTCACTGACTCTCCAGGTCAGGGAAAATTCCAGATCACCCGACTGGCTACACTCAGTTTGACCCTGTCCTGTCAAAGCCCCCATTTCTGTGAGATTAGCCAATTGCTTAACTCAAGAGCGAACTTCCCACAGTTCCTAGAATGCCAACCAACCTAGCGGGGCTGCCTTCAATAGTAGATTATTCCAACTGGACGCCTGTGGAGACTGTATTTTTCTTCTGGCTCCTGGGTGAGGGCTCTTGCCTCCAGACCACATTGCCTTTGTGGTGATTGATGGGAAGGCTGCTTTGAAATAGTTTTGTCCGGAGACAAGATCTTTGGCAGACTGCCCCTCGGGCTTAGCACTCTAAAGATGAAAAGAAAACTGTGGATGAAAAGAGCACCTTCATGTAAAGGGTTCACTGGCAAGTTTAACCCCCAGAAAGAAGGACAAGTCAGAAAGAGTGACACTTAGAAATCTAAGCCCAGTCTTATTAGCATCAGGAAATGAAACTGTAACTTGATTATCCTTAAAGAGGACTCTTCTATCACAGCATTTCCTAAAATAACAGACTGGAAAATGGTGGCCCGGTTGGACTTAAATATGGTTTTGTTTTGTGGCTGCCCCCCTCCTCTCCCTGCCCTGTCAACTCTTGGCTTCATTTCCTTTTCCCTCTCTTGCCCCATCTCCTCTTTTCACAGATACAAAACAGTATCCGGTGTTTGTGGGCCACAAGCCAGGACGGAACACCACACAGAGGCATAGACTGGACATCCAGATGATCATGATCATGAACAGAACCCTCTACATTGCTGCTAGGTGAGCCACCTTTTCCTCACGTTTGCCTTCAGAGCAAGCCAAGGGTCCTAATACCTAAATGTCTCCGCTATGCATCGTTTTAAAGATCCCCAACAGAGTGTTCTTTAATTTAAAGTCTACTTTAGTTTGTCAAGCAGTCATTCTTTCAAGATTTTCTGTGTCTGTTTAACTTCATTATGTGGATTTGGGTAGAAATAATGGCATATTTTGGAGCTTAGACTCAAATAATCCACTGTTTATCTTGAACATCGTATATATATATACAAATATTTGCTCAAGCACAGAGTAAAGTGCTTCTCTCCTTGATACTTACTAAATTAAGTTGAATGTGTAAACATGTATCGATTTAAGTTCAATGAGTGTGTGGGTGTGTGTATATTAATCTTGTGTTTTTGCAGCTAATGTATAGTATATATCATTACTTTAGCAGTAGCCATCCATTTTAGAAGATTTTGATTTGGATCTAGTTAAGAAAACACTTATCCACTAGGGACATGTCATTTAAACAGACCATGTCTTAAGGCTGGATGGCATGGTAAGAATACTGCCCAGACAGGAATTACATGGATTAGGCTTTTGTTTCACCTCTAATCTTAATTCACCTGGACCACAACTTCTCTGGCTGTGTAAGTGTCCTCTGTTAAATGAGAGACTAGATTAGATTATCTTAATGAAGTCCTTTGGGATTCTAAAAATACATGATTTCCCATCTGGGGGTGTGTGTGTAGCTCATTCAAAATATAAAGTATAACCTGGGTCTAGCCTGATGAATCGTTTTACACTGGGAAGGAGAAATAGAGATTATGTTTGTAGTACCTGTTTGGCTGTGAGCACAGGCAACAAACAGGTAAGTAACAACACTGCTGGATTCCTTCAAAGCACTTAAATGTCCTGAAAATACAAGCTATACAACATAAAGTAAAAATCCACTGGCTGGATTAAAATATCCTACGAGTACCCTACATTTGGTCACAGGGAGCAACGCCAAAGCACTTTCTAAAATTTTTACTTCACAAATACTTATGTAGTACATATTGGTTGTATGTGCTATATAAATTGCAAATACAGTTGTAAGTCCTTTATAAATGTTAATCCATTCAATCCTGGAAAAAAACCTATGAGATGGAACTATTATCATACCCATGGCTTACAGGAGGAAACCATGTACAGAAAGGTGAAATGACTGGGTCAGAATGACAGAGGCAGGATTTGAACTGGAATGGTCTTGCTCTAGAGTCTGGGTCACTACTCCCCGTACTCTGCAGCCTACTGAGCCGTAGAAGCGGTACTATTTGTCCTGGCTGATAACCTTCTCATAGCTGTTGCCCAAGAACATGGCCATTGTAGGTATTCATTAAAAAGCAATCCAATGAGTCCTGAGTAGCCGCCTCTCTGGGAGAGTTATCAGCTCCTTCTTAAATCCCATTTTTAGTTTCCTAAATGTAGCAAGTCTGGAAGATTACATTTGTACCCAATTAGCTAAAGGATGGTCAAAACAAATGATTAAACATTGCATCTGTGAGAAATAGGTTGACTCAAGAATCTTCTATGAATTGCTCACTTTGCCACTGAGTCTTTAGGGGAAAAGAAACATTGTAACAGACTCTGCGCTTGTGCCTGATGATTTAGCATGGGTAGGAACTGCAGGCCTCGGTGGGCACCTGAGTTAGGAGCAAGGTGCTACGCAGACTTCAAAGTAACCATTACTACAGCTTGTTAAAACCAAGACCGTTTTATCGTAACTCCCTACCCCAAGAAAAGGAGAAAGAAGAGAAGGGAAAAAAAAAAGGGAAACACATTCACTTTTTTAACACCATAAAATAGACTGTCTTTGGTTAAAGGTCAAATTTGTAACAGCCTAGCATTGACATGTTGGTTTTCACTCTACGTGCAGCCACTTCCCTTCAATATACACCCCTGGAGAAGTTCCTAAATTATTTCTGTGGTCGCTGTATTTAGGGTCCCTCCTCTCCTTTTAATTTCGGGTTTCCCAACAGTGCCCCGAGAGATCCATTCTCAGGCAGCAAGTAACACGAGTTAAAATGAAATCCTTCCCCCACGCTGAAGTCATGGCAACACAGCTCAGTGGTACTCACTGAAGGGGGGAAGAGGAAGTCCTTGGATTAAGTCAGTTTGTGTTCAAATAACTTAATTCAGTGAGAGCAGGGTATGAACCCTGGGATGCACACACTGGTGCTGGGGAATAACCCCTGACCCTGGTCTGTGGTTTAGCATCAAGTGTCGTTCTGTTTGCTGGGCAATGTGATCTCTTGGAGGTTGAAAAAGATTACCACTGTCCAAAAGGAGATTTCATTCACAGAATTTTATAGTTAAAAGGCTCCCCCATTCTTCTAGACAATGTGTGTCAGCAATCAGAAGCCAAGTCCCATCCAGAGCCCAGGGACTGAGTGAAGCTTGATGGGAAGAAGGCTTTTCAGTTCTGCTTTATTATTATCCATTTTGTAAATTCTTCTTTTTTTGTTGTTTAATCTCTGAACTGCTAATTAACATAAACAGGCCATGCCAAAAGGGGGCAATCTAAGAGCTTTCTGAGGAATTGCCAATATTAATCAGTTGTTAGTTTACAATTTATATGTTCAGCTCTTACTAAAGTTTTGAGGAGAGACAGGGCCAGGAAAAACCTCGAGTCATCTCAAACCTAATACCAAAGTAATAGGCAATTCCATTCCAATAATGAACCTGACCTACAGCGCCACCAATAGAGTCAAACAAGAGATAAAGGAATGCCATAAAACTGCCTTGGAATTAAAGGGCAGGGCGATTCTGGCACCCTATTGAAGTCTGAAGAACTTCCCAATTCAGCAATTTACAAAACAGGCTCCCCTTTCTCCCCCTCACCACCCTTACACACACACACACACACACACACACACACATTCACTCTCTCTCTCTCTTTCACAGTCCAGGAGCAAGCAAGGGAATGTTGTAGGCCAACTGCCTTGCCCCCTTTTATTTTCACAGGAGAGCGCCTGTTTTTATTTCCATTTTTCTCTGTTGTACTTTCCCTAAAAGCAGTAGCAAACAGATTTCCAAAGAACTGGGGGGAAAAGAATTGAAGTGAATCCTGACAGCAGATTCCTTTCTTTTTTCTTTCTTTCCTTCTCCCCTTTCCGTTTCTTTTAAGTAATGAGGGGGCTTGAAAGTCTGCACTGGAGCCTTGAGGTCTTGCTTTAAAGCTGTGGGTAATTTTCCAGCCCCAGGACTTCCTGCAGTTTAGAAAAAGTCAATGTTATTTCAAGGGAAAACGAGCTGTTTTGCTTTCCCTCACTAGCCCCCCATCTCCCCAGTTGAGTGTAGTTCTTTTCTTTCCTTTATTCTGAATTCCAGACAAAAACGCCCTTGTACTCAGTTCACACAGAAGGGGATGTTTAAATATAGCCCCACACCTGAGCTGCTGATTCTGTTTCTCCCCTTCCAAGGGGAGAATGGCAGCAAATCATAAAGTCAACCAAATTCTCAGCAAAACAGGAAGGTAAACAGAAGCAAGAAATGTAAACTTTAGCTCAAGTACATTTTAGACCTTAATTGACCATCATCGTGTGAAAAGAGAGAGCGGCTCCTGGAAACAGTTTTACTTTTATCGTCTTCCATCTTCTCAAATTATCAAAGCTAAGGCTGAAAATATGTTGTCTAAAAAGAGATGGAGATGAGCTTTTTGTTAGCTCCCTTGATGAACAACTGTAGCGTGTTGAATACCATGTGAAGGGGCATGCGAACCCATCTGTGTTCCAGTTTGGAAGCCTATTCAGCTTTCAGACATCTCCCCCTAAACTACATATATACAGATGTTATAGTTCTATGATGAGAGAGACGACTGGAAAGTTTTCATAAAAGGTGTCCCTTGTGGCAAGATGCCACATTTTGTCAGAAGATGCTGCATGTCAGCCAGAGGCATCTCTTGGAGGCTGAACCCTCCCCTTTGTCTTGCATATGCATGTTTTGTTTTTAATAACATGGATGTGGGTTTATCTGCCTTGAATGAGATATATACTTGTATTCAGGAGAAAATGAACGATCTTGACTCTTGTGTTTGACGTTGTATTAATATTTCTTTGTTTATAGGGACCATATTTATACTGTTGATATAGACACCTCACACACAGAAGAAATTTATTGTAGCAAAGTAAGTAGTTTTCAAACCTTCTTTCTGAAATGAAGGACCTTAGGATAGTTCTTGAAGAGAATATGTATTTTAAAGGCATTGATTGAGATGACATGGCTTATAATAATTTGGAACATTCTGTGAAATCCTAATTTGGGGGTAAGTTAGGGCTTAATACGTACCCAGAAATGGTTATGTACGTCATATTTTATTCATCAATTATGTGTGCATGTACACTTTAGAGTTTTAGGTAATTGCTAAATTGTTTTAATAAAATATTGGATGTTTGTCCTGGAAAATATCAGTTTTCATATGGAAACTTTTGTCGTACAAACGTTTCACTGTTATGTTTCCATATCTTGCAATACTAAGTTTGAGTTGACTGTTGTGGTTCAGGAATTTGATAATTACCCATTTCAGACACACATAAAATATAACCTTAAGCCTCCCTTGTAACTCCACATGGAGGTATTTTAGTTAATAAAATCTGCCCCAGAAGTAGATGATCCCTTCAGCCCATGAGTTTATGCGAAGGAGTATAACCTGAATTAAATCTTTGTCAACCTAAAGTGAATGTCTCCTTTATGTTTAAGAAAATGACTTCCATATTTTAAGAAAAAGGCCTGCTTCACGGAAACTGATTTATCAAGTGAAAAAGAAGGGCAAGGACATGTATTTTATCAAAATGAGCGTAATTTAGCAAGTTAATGTGGAGATTTTATGTGAAATGTCCATCCACGCTGTTGTTTATTCTTCTTTCCTTTTTCCTTCATCTTCATCTCAAGGAGAAGAAGATCATTTTGTAGTTTAATGAATAGATAGGGGTTCAAAATTAAATGAACATTTCCACCTCTAATCTTTTGTTGTTATGGTGAATTAATCATGGAGAAAGGGTGCGGAAAGCTTTCAATAAATATATGTTCAGCCTCTAGTCTCCCCCAGGGAACTCTTACTTCTAAAATCAAATGCAACAACCTCTGGGTTCTAATTGATTTCTTTCTTGATCACTGCAGAAACTGACATGGAAATCTAGACAGGCCGATGTAGACACATGCAGAATGAAGGGAAAACATAAGGTAGGCAATTTTCATTTCTCCTGCAGCTGCCACTTTGGGTTAAGTCCTTGACTGTTACCTCTAGCCGTAGACCGTCATGTGGAATGGGTCACACTAGTCCCTTTTCCCCCAGTAATTGTTTCTTCCATCAACTTATTGAAGGCTTTAATTTGCAAAAATAGTTTGCTTTTAATGTGATAAAACATTACGACAGCTGCTAGGGATGCGTCATGAACTATCTAGGGGCACCAGGGATTATGGACACCAAGCTGGCTGCCCCGACTCTTGTGAGTGCCCTCTCCGGGAGCCCACGCCTCACGGTCCAGAGCCCTCAGGGAGTCTGCAGAAGAGCTCAGAAAGGCTGCCGCAGACATACAAAAGTCTGTGCCTTTGGTCATAGAACATAAAAACACACTTCAGCCAGGAACCTTATATATCAAGGGACCCTGGAGTCTCTGGCATTAGAATTAATGTGATGGGGAGGCTGGTACTTCCAGGCCTGCCTTCCTTTTGAGGCATAAACACATTTTCACTCTATGCCATGTTCTTATTTACTGTTGAAAAAGCAGTTGTTACTCTCATCATCATCTTGTGGTAAACATAAGGAGGGGCTCGAACTTTTCACAGGGGAACGCTCCAGCCACCAGCATTTTAACCTTGCTGTTAGCAGATCATGGTACACGGTCAAGGGGTCTCTATACTGAACGGACTGGATACCAAAAAGTTTGAATTATTTTTCAGGATGAGTGTCACAACTTTATTAAAGTGCTTCTAAAGAAAAACGATGATACTTTGTTTGTCTGTGGAACTAATGCCTTCAACCCTTCCTGCAGAAACTATAAGGTAAATGCTCTCTTGTCTCTTGGAACCACACAGCCCGGAGGTATTTCATAATTCACTGTGATTGCGCCTGCAGTAACCTAAGAGGGTTAATTCAACACCACCTGGGTTCCTCTCACTTGTTCGACTTAATGTATTGCTCCACATGAGTGATCCTGGGCAGGCTTCTAAGCTTCCTGTTTGTTCAGGATTGATTGACGCAGCTTTAAAGAGCTGACCCGGCTAAGTTCGTTTCTGTAAAACCCTATTCTCTATTGTTCAGAACGCCAACATATGTACCACATAGTGGATTTCCTCTCTCTCCCTTTCTCTTTTTCCCTCCCACCCTACCATCTCCTCTCTGAGCACAAAAACACACTTATATTGTGAACGATTCCTATTTTTAAAGGGATCTCAAAAGCATGTCATTGGAAACTGCAGACTTTCCTCTAGGTAAGATTTTCAAGAACACAGGAAGTTAATTCCATTCAGCACTCAGCTTACTTGACTATGGCCTTACTTAACTTGGCCTTTATGCAAGGGAAAAAAATTAACCCTCGGGCTTCCCTGGTGGCGCAGTGGTTGAGAGTCCGCCTGCCGATGCAGGGGACGCAGGTTCGTGCCCTAGTCCGGGAAGATCCCACATGCCGCAAAGCGGCTGGACCCGTGAGCCATGGCCGCTAAGCCTGCATGTCCAGAGCCTGTGCTCTGCAACGGGAGAGGTCACAACAGTGAGAGGCCCACATACCGCAAAAAAAAAAAAAAAAAAAAAAAAAAAATTAACCCTCGCAGCATTAATAAATCTACTTAGTTCTGATGCAGCTGATGGTGGTGTTGCTGAAGGAGCAGAGATGGCAATGATCTGAGGTCTTTCCTTGTCCCTTCTTTCTGCAACAGTCTGTCATTCAGCAAACCCATTTTGAGTTTCTCCCGTGACCAGGCATTGATGTTGTAAAGACAGATAGGAGGCCTCCATCCTTAGGGAAGCCAGACAGGGAGAAGAAAACTGCAATCCCATGGGTTTGCTGCCATGGTGACATAATGCAGAGCATGATGGAAGTATCACAGAAAAGTGCTTATATCAGCCTGAGATGTGGAGTCAGGGAAAGCTTCCAGAAGGAGGTAGACGACTCCTGTCTTCAAGTGTTCCCTCCTGCTGTCCCCACGTATGGAACACGAACACCCCAGCCCAGGAGAAACCCAAGCGTCTGTGATTGCCCAGAACCTGACACAGTGTCTCCAAACAGGTGTTCGATTAATTTTGAGGGGTAAATAGTGAATGAGATAATGCCTAACCTCAGTCTTAGAGAAGAAGTAGAAGTTACCAAATGAAGGGAGAAGGGCATTCCAGGTAGGGGAACAGCATGAACAAAGGCATGGAGTAAGAAACAGTCTACTGAGCTTGAGAAACTTCATTTGGTTCTGAAGTGCTGGACTCTGAGGTGACAGTGACAACAAAAAAGAGCCTAGAGCGGGAGGTGGCCTCAGGGATTAAGGGAGGAGATGAGATTCAGGAAATACTTAGGTGACAAAAACCAGGAGGATTTGCTAATTAACAAGAAGCACAGGATAAGGAGAGACAGGAGTTAAGAACGGCTGCGAGGCTATCTCCTGGGTGGGTGGACGGATGGGGCGGCCACCAGTTTGGACAGGGAGTAAAGGAAGAGCAGTGAGGTTGAGGGGGGTGGTGAGAACACGGGTGTTCCATCTTGCATGTTAGCAGTACTCCTGGCACCATGGATGGCAAGGCCTACAGGACATGAATAAAGATCTCCAACAAGAAGATGGACGGGGTCAACCTTGATTTAGGGAGAGACATGGGGGGCATATCTAGATTTGGGTTTCACCAGCATAAAGTGAAACCTTAGGGGTGTGAAGAATGAGCAAAAAAATGCTGGGCTGATATCAGGACCAGAGGGCTCACCAGCCTGGGTCTGACAGTTTTAAAAGACTGCCTTAGCACAGACATCGGAGGGAGGGTCTGTTTTGCCCTCATGCTCATCTTTCATCTTATGTTTGGAAACGGGCACCAGCAGGGTCAGGATTAGGGTGAGGCAAGTGAGGCATCTGGCTCAGGAGCAACATGTAAAGGGGGGGCGTCCAAAAATTCAGTAATCAAGATAAATGATTTTTTCAATGCAGTATTTTTTTAAATCTAAATTAATGCAAAAAATACTGTCATATCCAAATTTTAAATAATGACAGGAGCCGATTCAGGCTGTAATAGAGGCAGCAGTCCAGTCAAACATTCAGCCAGTAACGGTATACTGGAGCACGGACTTCCATTCTACCACGTAATATTCCATCCCTGTTTGTCATTGTTTAGGACTCATTAAGATCAGTGCTTCTAACAAATCCTAACAAATTCCCTAGCTGGAAAGCTATCTTTTATGACAAATTACAGGTTTTCTTGGCACTGTGAGGCCCGGCCTGCAAGTGTTCCAGCTCTTTCTTCCTGCACATGTTCTATTCCCCAGGGCGCTTCATCTCTAAGGGATGCCTTCATCTCTCCCTTGTTCTAGCCACACCTGCTGAAACATGTTCCAGGAGGCTGGGCCTCTCAGAAACCACAGACAGGATACACCTAGCACGGCGAATGGTAGCGAGAACCCTTGGCATTGCTCAGACAAGTGTTTTTAGACTCTCGGGGCACGAGGGACTTTGCTGAGGATATGAGACATAATGTATTTGGCTGCAGGGAGAATGGACAGCCTCTCTCTTAAGTGCTTGTTATCTCCAGATCAGGACCAAAGGGTCAAAGCAAAAACAATGACCAGTCTTCCACTAACCCAACTCTCAGAGCGCAGAAGCGTCAAGTTAAACTATCTGAAGCAGGAGAGTGACAAAATTTTGGTCTTTGCTTCTGCACCGGGCCCTGACTTACACAATTTTTTTTTTTTTTTTGCGGTACGCGGGCCTCTCACTGTTGTGGCCTCTCCCGTTGCAGAGCACAGGCTCCAGACGCTCAGGCTCAGCGGCCATGGCTCGCGGACCCGGCCGCTCCGCGGCATGTGGGGTCTTCCCAGACCAGGGCACAAACCCGCGTCCCCTGCATCGGCAGGCGGACTCTCAACCACTGCACCACCAGGGAAGCCCTGACTTACACAATTTTTGTAACAGAAGTAAGCTGAATATATTAGAGAGATTAGAGCCCCAAATAAGATTATCTGGGGAAGAATTCTGAAGGCTGCCCACTATAAATCTACAACTACACTCCACACCTTTTCCCTCCTGTTCTCTAAACCTCTTGAACTTCCGCACAAGTCAGGCTGGTTCTTAGTATAATTATCTGTACCCTACGGTGATTTAATTTACTAGGGGCTAATATTAAGTCTAAGATCTGATGACTGCTACAAGGATTAGTTCTTACTTCATGGAAGGAGGATTTCACCATGGCATTGTTTTGTCTCTGGGCTTTTCCAAGTTCCCAAACCAATACATTAATTCTTCATTGCTTCCTGCCCTTGACTAGCTATAGCTATAGCCGCTTTTTTACAAGTAGGTACATTTTAAAACATATATCCCCACTGTATATTATTGTTTCCCCATTGCCAGGATTACAGCATGCACTGCTTGGGATAACAGCATTTCCGTTGCATCACTGTGTACTAAGCCTCACCTTGAATACTTGCCACAGACCGCAAAGTCTGTCACAGTTCATCAGGAAGCTCTCCTTGGGACAAAATATCAGGAAAAGACTTTCATAAAAATGTGCTGGGGCGAGAGTACATTTGCTTTAAAGGATGTCTAACTTGAACATCTTTTCCCTAAAATTACATTTTTAACACACTGCTTTATGGGATTCTCGGCTACAGTTTAAACAAACAGGATGGCTCCGATGGGGGAGATTTCAAAGTGCTTGTACGTAGAAATGGCCTGTCCTATCCCTGAAAAGGTTTCTGTGGGTTGAGGGCAAAGGGCTAGTGTTGGACAACACTAGCAGCTGCTCAGTAAGAACCTCGCTCCTTCCTCCTGGGCAGCAACTCCAAGCACCCTGATTTAAGGCACCCTGATTTAGCGCTAAAGGCCTTTCCACAGATCCTTCCTCAGCACCACGGCTGTCTTAGGTTTATCTTCTTTCCGTTTTCATATATGTAGTCAAACCAGGCAACTGCCACATGATACACAAAATACCCTAAAACCGTAAAGAAGACTGAACTACAGAGAGGGTCAAAACATTAATAGTGTGGAGATCTGTCTAGGGACTCTGTGCTGCTGAGGTTTAAATTCTAGGACGATCCATGGCGTAAGGAAGAAGCCTGTGTGGTAGGAACCCCCTTAATTATTGGTCTAGGTGGACCAACCGCTGACCAGTGTTAGTGGCTGACCATCAGAGGTTCATTTCCTGCTCACATCACAGTCAAGTGTGGGTCAGTGAGAGAGGTTCTGTTCTATGAGGAAGTTATTCGGAAAGCCAGCTCCATTCTGCTCTTGTGTCTGCCATCTCTTAGGATCTTGGAATTCTCCACTGGATCCTCTGTATCTAAGGGAAGAATGTAGAGAGAGAGCAAGAGGGGAGGACTCTGCAAGGTTTTTAGAGGCCAGACCTAGAAGTGGTGCAGAGCCTTACACACACCCCATTGGCCAGAGCTCAGTCATGTGATCATACCTGACCTGCAAGGGAGGATGGGAAATGTAGTTTAGTGGGATATGCAGGAAAGGGAAATGAAATTTGGTGAACAGCTAGTAAGGCCCTGCCTCACCTGCAAATGCCTATGGAGCCAGACAGGTAACTCACAGGAGTGAAGCAATCAGGTTGTCAGGATAATCTGTGGGTGAAGGAGCCCTGGTGCTAAAGACCACGTGCCTGTTTGAAGAAAATGGCAGGGGCTGCCAGTACTCAACTATAGCCTGCTGCCACTTGGGTAAGAACAGCCTAAACTGACTTTCCAACTTGTTCAAAAGAAGCAAGAAATCCAGGTTTTTATATGCAATCTCCCTGTTTTAAAATAGGGCTCACAGGGGCTTCCCTGGTGGCACAGTGGTTAAGAATCCACCTGCCAACGCAGGGGACACGGGTTCGAGCCCTGGTCCGGGAAGATCCCACATGCCACGGAGCAACTAAGCCCGTGTGCCACAACTACTGAGCCTACACTCTAGAGCCCACAAGCCACAACTACTGAGCCCACATGCCACAACTACTGAAGCCCGTATGCCTAGAGCCCACGCTCCGCAACACAAGAAGCCTGCGCACCACAACAAAGAGCAGCCTCTGCTCGGCACAACTAGAGAAAGACCGCGCACAGCAACAAAGACCCAACGCAGCAAAAGTAAATAAAATTTTTAAAATAGGGCTCACAGGCAGGCCAGTAATAACCCCTCGCCAGTAATAACCTCTAGCTCACAGGAACAAAGCCAGGGTTGGGCAGTAGGAGATGGAAGTCAAGCAGCAGCCTGTGGCTGTTGGGAGCCTCTCAGCTTCTGGGCCTTTCTCAGCTGCACAGTCTGAGGATGGGACATGTTTCTGAAGTAGGTACAAAGGCTACCTGAGCTCTGCTTGCATCCATGTTTTTGTACCTTTGCTGACACCATACTATTCTTATCAGGTAACCCGAGAAAGAATTCCAGCGTCTTCTTCTAGGATTTAACCCACAAAGGCAGGACTCCTCGGGCACAACAAAACCAAAACTGAAGTCATTCTCTATAGAGTTCATGACTCAACAGATAATTCATGCAGAGGAGAGGAAGGAGGGGAATTAAGTTTTCCTGGTGTCTGTCTCAGACATTCCTTTTCCAAGGAGAAAGATGCTACTTCTTGAGCATTTCAGAATGATACTCTTTACTGGAATAAAGGAATCTCTTTATTGTAGTGGTTCAGAGTCAAGCAGACATGACTGAATTTCTGACTCTCCTAGCCGTAGAATCTTAGTCAAGTGACTTCATCTCTCTAAACCTCAGCTTCGTCATCTGAAACCGAAAGGCTTACCTCAGAGGGTATTCGAGGAGTATGTGCGCCATGCATGTGAATTACTTAGCAAATTAAGAGCTTTGTAAATATTAGTTGCTGTTACTACTGTTGGTTTCTGTTGTTCTTAATTAAGTCCTATTATTTCATTCAGATGGATACTTTGGAAGCTTTTGGGGATGAATTTAGTGGAATGGCCAGATGCCCTTACGATGCCAAACATGCCAACGTTGCACTGTTTGCAGGTAAATGACCTGATTTCTTCTCATTGCATTTGCTTTTGTGTGCTCTGCCTGTGGCCACACATCTACTCTGGAGGATTTGCAGAGTCACAGTTGTACTTCGATTCTCTAGTGAACAGTGTAATTAACAACGCCTTTTCCATTTGAAATTCATATGGAAACTGTACTTTCGCTTCTTAAGAGAAGTCTTTGCCACGCCTACCCGTGCTTTTGTGCCTTCAGAAAGAATAACAACTTGGTACTGAACGTGCGACATACTGGTTAGGGCATGTTTGGGCTGAAATACTAGAAAATCCCACCTTGAACCACCAATGCGGATTGAGTATTTAAGGTAGGGTAGACTTTGGGGTTGGTTTGATTCAACAACTCAACAATCTCATCCAGGACACAGGTCCTTTTCATTTCTCTGCTCTGCTTCCTTTCTTTCTCTGAGAGAGACTGGCTGTTCTCAGAGTCATAATAGGATGGCTGCCGGGGCTCAATTAGGGCTACATGTCCTCTTGTCTACATACAGAAGGGAGAAGGAAAGGGACAAAAGGAAGCTTTTGGAAGCTCTATCAGAGCAGTGAGACCACATACTCATAAGTTAGCAGCAAAGATCTTCTCAAGTATCACTGACCGGATTAGGTTGCATGCCTATCTCTGCTAGAAAAATTGTAGTGGCCAAGGGGATGATACTGATTAGCGGAGCTTGACCCATACGCCCCATCCCTACTCCTTCCTTCCATTGCAAAGGATATAAAACAACAGCAAGGAAGCCATGACTTTCAGATTGGGATTTCTGTGTGCGCATGTGTGTGTGTTTTAATTAGAAATTTATTTAGGAATTCACGGCCAGTTGTGCACGTGGAGGTGGGTACAGGGAGAAGCGTTGGTATAACAGTGATTGTTATGGCATGTAATAAAGCAGTTAGCTATAATTTCCATCACAGCAGCTAAAAACTGGCGCATCCTAGCCAGATAAGAGACTTTAGGGCTTCGATCATGAAAAAAGATTAGCTCCTTGAACTTCATCCTCAGTGTCATCCATTTGTGGGCCTGAATCTGCAGTCAAAGATTGAAGAAGTGGTTCGTGCCAGGTTCAGAAGGAAACGTTTCTCAGGTTCTCCTCCAAAGGTAGAGCACAGTATTGTCGGGAAGCAGCCTTGTGAGAAACACAAAGTCTTGTAGACCTGTTTGTAAGCATGGTCAGGGGCAAGGCCAGTGGTTAGGGTGTTTGAGCATATTCTTAAGTGCGTAACTTCTGCAGCAACACTTTTCTGACACTTGGCACCTGCATTAGTCAGTACCATGGAGGATGTGGGCTGCAGTGGAGAACACAAGTTTAAGCATTAACTAAAAAGAAGTAGCCTGAGGTAGAAAGAGGAGAATGGGCAGAGTGTTTACTAAGGCCACCAAGCTTCAAGAAGCAAGCCATGTGAGACCATACTGTGACTGCCCCTCTGCCCCTTCCAACAGGTATACTTGAATCAGTGTTCACTGAAATGTCTGAAATCTCATAAGCGCTCAGCCCTTATAAACAGAAGATATTTGTTGCACCTCAACGGTTGCCATATTACGAAGAGTGCCAAAATAGTACTTGATGTTACAAGTAAAAGTTCTGGTGAGACACCCAGTGTACGGGGGAGTGTTCAACAGCAATAACCTCACACGCGCACACAGTGCTGCCACTGCCCTCCACCCTTCAGGTGTATCTGTATGGCCTGGGGCTAGGATTCTATAGGACAAGTTGTGATTTTTGTAGATATATGTTTATCAATAGAAAGGTGTGCTGTCTGCAGTTAAAATCTAACCCAAACAGTCAACACTTACTGATATATGAATGCCAAGAGTGTAGGTGTGAAGACAGCTCTATCCTGAAACTAAGCAAATGTCAGTTAAGACCAAAAGTAGACCTCAAGAACTTTGCTTAGGTATGTCTGGATAAGATTTTTTTTTAAGAAAAACCATATGCTTATTCCACAAGTGGAAGAGCTTAAAAGAACACTGTATTGTATATAAACCACTTTTGAAGATGCTTTCGAAGCCACAATTAATGAAGATATGTAATCCACTAAAAATGAGCCACGGAAGTAATTTTTTATATTAAATATAATTAGTGTTTTCATTTCATCTACATAGATTTTGCTATTCCAGAACAGCCCATTTGATTATTTGTATAAACAATGCTTGCTAATCCGCGAAAAGAACGCAAAATTTCAAGGATTCACCTTCAGTCATCTTCGCTCTCTTTTGCCTTGAATGCATCCTCAAGCATAAGTCCCAAAGAGCATGAATTCTTAAAGAAAGACCAGTTTGAACTCAGCACCGTCCCCTCCCCGCCCCACTTTACTTTGGCTTCTTATATATCAGAACGTTCTCAGTTTGTGACTTTGGAAATAATGAAGCAAATATTTCTTAAATGGAAAGCGAGATTGGCAGGGCTTAGTGGCTCTCACGACTGAGGTAAAGAGGGGCAGAGACGCGCAGGATACACGTAGCAATTTTAGTCAGCTCTTTTTTGCTTATGAATCCCCTTTCTTCAACCTCCCTCACCTGCTCAGGCCGAGGACGCTGTTACTTCTGCTTGCACTTAAATTTTCTGGTGATTAAAATCAGCCTCTATCTTTCCCTGGGCTCCTCCCTAATCCAGTTTACCATGGTGTGGTGGCAGTTGCAGCGTCCAAGAGGCCTTGGCCTTGAGATTTCCGTCAAGGTACATCTAATCGAGTGAAGCAAACAACATTTTTCATTTACCCTGTTCCCTGAGCTGCTGCTTAGAAATTGCCGTGCAATTTAAAAAATGAAAAATGTTTCATCTCTCAGGATCCCAACTGAAAATGGTTAGGAATGTGGGCCAAGTGTTTTCCCAGAGACTCTTGGGCTTTTCCCAGGTGCCCTATCTTATCTACCTGATACAGGAAAGCCGGGGCGGGGGAGGCCTCTATTATTCCCGCATGCCCACTGTCTTGCTGCAACTCCGACCACCTCTTCTTTTTCTCTTCGAAGACGGAAAACTGTACTCTGCTACAGTGACTGACTTCCTTGCCATTGATGCAGTCATCTACCGGAGTCTCGGAGACAGCCCAACCCTACGGACCGTCAAGCATGATTCAAAATGGTTGAAAGGTGAACAAACAAAAGAAGAAAAGGAGGGGAGGTGGGGGAGATACATATCCTGAGGGAGATTCAGAGCCTGGATGGACCAGACTGTAGTTGCATTTTAGTGATGGCTTCTCACGGACAGGAAGGTGGAAATTGCACCTTCTGCCCCCAGTTGATTGATTTACCTCCCCTTTTCACTTCCCATGAGTTTCTGGAGTGTTATCAAAACTACCAATGCCACTATAATAGAACACGTGACATGTATCTTTCCTGCTTCAAGCTCTCATTTCAGAGTCCCACGCGAAAACAACTAAACACTTCATTCACGGAAGGGAACAGGGGATTGGAGGTGGTGGGGAACAGGAAAAAAGCTGTTCACAACACTGTATGAGTCAAGGGTGACAAAGGGATGTGTACAAAATCCATTCTGTAATTTGAGCGTTGTATTGTGGAAAATAAAATGACATAGATATGCAAAACTCACTTTATTCTTCACTGTTCATTGCAACTGCTTCTGAAAGATAAAAATCTGTAGGCTTAAATGCTTTCTGAAATCACCAGCACTTGCATGTGTGAAGTCACTAGAAATGGTTAGTGTTAACCAAATGTCTGATGGCCCTACGCTTTTAATTAATAACATGTCTTTGGTTGCAGCTGATTGCAGTTCTTTTAACTCTGTGTGACATGTCCCCAATTAAAGTGCCCATTTGTCCACAGAACCGTATTTTGTCCAAGCGGTAGACTATGGAGACTACATCTACTTCTTCTTTAGGGAAATAGCGGTGGAGTACAACACCATGGGAAAGGTAAGCGGGGAGGATGTCTCCATTTGGGGCCAGTGTGGTTATCAATGACTTTGAAATAAGAACCATAAATCGAATGACAAGGTCATCGTTTTGAGAAGATCCAGCCAAAGACGGGTGGAAGTGAAACATTTCGCTTCCTCAAACCCCTGTATGCTTTTTCTGAGTAGTAACAGATTACAGGGAAACCTCTTAAATGTTTATATTGAAAATTTAATAGATAGATGTTGGGTTGATTTCATACTGAGTTTCAAGTACCTTAAGATGTGGTTTCCAGGTCCACTCATCAGGGTTTTTTTGTTTTAAATTGAGTCGCTCCAGAGAGAGAGTGTAAATATTCAATATCTTTTAAGAGAACCAAGGGTCTTGACTGTATTACAAAAAGCAATAGAACACTTAGGGGATGTCTATTTCAGTTATTTTTATCAGAGAGTAGATCAAGATCACTAAGTTAGAGGGCACAATTCACTGCCAGGGGGGCTTGCACAGTTAGAGGAATTCAGAGCATGAGATGCAGAGCCCAGAGGCAGCTAGTGAGCATGGCAGAGATGGTGCATACAAGTGTGCTTTTGTTTGAGGAAATAAAAAGCTAAGCAGTCTGTATGGAAATGAGTTTATGTGGCTGGGAGCTGATCCCCTGAAGGATTTATGGCTCTGTATTAAATGCCACAGCCTTATCTTTCAAAACATGCTGCTCCAATGCTGAGTTTTTCCCTTCTTTTTTTTTGCTACTGAATTTAGAAACACAGGATTAAGTTAAGCACCTTGTTGTTCTGTTTCTGTTTTCTAAGAAAGGCAAATTCTACTAAGATCTCCACGAAAAGTAAGTGCATTCCACTTTCTCCATGTTTTTCCTCTGCAGGTAGTTTTCCCAAGAGTGGCTCAGGTTTGTAAGAATGACATGGGAGGGTCACAAAGAGTCCTGGAGAAACAGTGGACATCCTTCCTTAAAGCTCGCCTGAACTGCTCAGTTCCAGGGGACTCTCATTTTTATTTCAACATCCTCCAGGCCGTTACAGATGTGATTCGTATTAATGGCCGTGATGTTGTCCTGGCAACCTTTTCCACACCTTATAACAGGTAACCATGCCCTGGCTGTGTGGACCTAATCGGTCCTTCCTGGCTTCCTTTTCCCAAGGGGTTGTCGTCTAACACACAAGATTTGCAACTGATGGAAAAATTGCCATTCACTATTTGTAGCTAAGAAGCACTTAACATTCAGTTTTCATCAACAAATTATCAGTCACTTATAAGCACTGTTAGAGTAGGATTCTGGAGAAAGTAATTAGATAAATTATAACAATACAGTATTTTCATATGCCTGGGGTATAAACACTATTCATGTGCTATTCCTCAATCCCTCCAGTAATCTTGAAAAGTGAATACTGCTGCCTTCTTTTTACACTTGAGGAAACTGAGTTCAATTATACTATCTGGTCCAGGTAGCCAATGGGTGGAAGCAGCAGCTTTGGAACTCAAGAATGTTCCTCCTTTCCCTTCTAGGTCATCTAACATTTTATTTGACTTTTAATATTTCTATGACTAGATCAGTAATTTTTGAAGTAAAAATACTGGAAACTTATTAAAATGCTACAGAGTGAAATTTAGGAATTAGATGAGTCCATCTTGCATCCCACCTAAGGGACCCTGGTTATTATCCTGTCAGAGGAACCAGGATCCCAACCACAGCACTACTGTCTGACTCTGGAGGGTTCTACTGACGGCTTACAAGTCATCAAACGTTGCACGGAGAAATACCGTCTCGGCCTGTTCACCCCTATTTTTGTATTTACTTAAGCTAAGACACTGAGCTATTAAATGGCACACTAATAACTGTCCCTGGAACAGTGAAATGTGTAGAGACTAAAGAACAGAAGGAACAGGGACACTATGTTCCCTGGTACTTGGCTCTCCCAAACCTTAGAGTACTAGCACCATTGTGTGGAAATGATCCTAACTCTGGCCATGGTCATGAAACTGAAATACATGTACTATATTCTCACTTCCATGTAGAATTCTGTGTGTTCCATATAATCTTCCATAAGGAATGCACTGTTTTGTTTTGGATTATACTTTTTACAAAAACTTTGAAGAACTTGATGAGTGGCTAGATGACAGGATAGCCGCTAGGAAGAAATGCTTAAGGATTGGGTAGAGCCCAGAACAGAGCTAGCTGAAAGATGAAATAATGTTCCCCAATTGTATGGAGGACAAGAGTCAAGAGTTCCCACTGAAGAGATATGAAAACGTAAACCCATACTGCAGCAAGAGGTATTGAGTTCGGTTTAAATAAGCTGCAACCATCTGAAGGAATTTTTAGACTTGAGGATAGAAAAGATAAAAAAATTCAGGCCCTGACTGCTGGAACCGATGTATCTAGTAGTGTTGAAAAAGAATACTATTTTGGAACACAGAATGTAGGTGCCAGTGGAGTTTCAGAGCACATTTCTAGTTTTTGTGTATGTTTTTTGAGAGGGTGAGTCACTTCACGATTACAATAGAGTAGTAGATTCCTGCGTATTATGTATACTCCCATGTAAAGAACTTTCTTAAAAGGGCCCTAGGAAACATTCAATTAGTGCGTGCTAATGCAGTCTCAGAAACCGTGTCTGTTTAGTAAAATCAGAAAATGGCAAAGATATGCATACCAGTTTTCATATATAAATTATAGTCCCTCTCTTGTTTTACTCCCTCTGGTTTCATCCCTCTCCACGGGCTCCTCCACACATGCACACTTCATCATGTCAGGTTGTTTCAAATCCTTTAGGTGCTCCTCTCTGCCCCGGGGATAAGGCCCAGCTTCCTTGGCGTAGCATGCAGGCTCCCTCGTGATCAGGCACGGGCTCCTCCTACAGCGCACAGGGCTTACTGGAGCTTGCTCATGCCCTGCTCTCTGCCAGGTCTGCCCACTGAACCCCCGGGGATGCCCCAAGCCGCGGCTCCAGCTGCCTCCCGTGGAACCCTGCACATACCTCTTTTTACCAGATTGTGTTGGAATATTTGTTATCGTTGTTATTATTATCACCATTGTTGTTTTTGCTGTTGTTTTCTTACACACTGAACTGTGAGTCAGCTGAGAGCAGGATGCCCTTATTTACTGACATTCACTGCTTGAGATTAGGGATTCCATAAATATATGCTGAATGAACAGAAGATGGGAAGAAAGGGAGGGAATAAAGCAGGGAAGGAAAAAGAAAGGATTTACAAATGAGTATAACCTTAGGAAGATTATAAAACCCTAGGGTATCTTTAGTTGTTAGGAAGTGCCTCATAAAATACTTCAGTATTTATCCTATTTTTCTTAATATTTAAGGCAAATAGGTACACCTCTTACTTTTAGGAAAGCGAGATGTGGAGAGAGTCTTACAAAATTAAATAATGCTGGGGGTTCTGAAATTTCAAAACAAATGGGGATCATTGTCTTATTACAGACTCAATACTGTGAATACACACACACACACACACACACACACACACACACACACACACACGCTACATACTTTTAAAATTCATCCTGCCACCTTGTTTTAAATAAGCTTTCTAATCCTCTCCCTATTTCTTGCTTTATTAGTAATACTTCATAACTGTGTTATGAAATTAAAGATGGCATAAAATTCTCCTAATCATATATGAAGTGATTTCCGTATCCTTTCAACATCTGCAGAGTCAGGACTAAATCATTCTTTCTCCCTGGATGATGTTTATGCTGCAAAGTGCTTGTGTCTTGCCCTGGATGCCTCTGTGTGCAGTGACCCACTACCTCAAAGCCTGATTAAAACTGTTGGCCAGCCAGTGGCTGAAATTTATTTGATCAAAATCAAGGAACGACCGTAGTCAAAAACAAACATGGGCTTAAGCAGTGTACCTAGATGAATGAATAATTCATGTCTGTTCACCACTGATGAAAAAAAAAAAAAAATCCCAAAATCCTTCTAGGAGTGTCAGGCAAGAATGTAATTATAGGTAGAGATTACTGTCATTATTATTATTTAGCACTTAATAGAGCATTTTATTTGCAAAGTGTTGGTGCTTTAGAGATTTCAATTGTTTAGTCTTATGCAAATAAACAGGAAGTAAACTTTGCAATGTACACTGACTAACATAAAATATGGTTGGGTTCCTCACGCATACACCCTCACTCCTGAAGTCCTTGGCTTGAGGAACCAAATTCAAAGAAGGACTATGTGAACAGTAGGGGCACTTTTACTTCACATTTTCACCAGTATTAGAGATGCAGAATGTTGTCCAAACGTTTTATCTTTGGTTTAAAGACTGATAATTTCAGGGAATTCATGAAACTTATAAATCACCAGCTCGCCCATTCCTCCTTTGTAAACAAAAGCAGTGCCAGACACAAGACATAAAGAGATGTTCACCTGACCCTGCTGTAACTAGCCCTTTCTTTAAGGCCACTGATGCACATCTGAGTCACAGAAACATTCTCCTTATGAGCTAGGATCCCTTACATTTCTAGTGTTCAGGATGCGAACATTAAATTTCAACTGCCCGTACTAGGAAAGTTACTTTGGAGTATATTTTCCAAACTGCATGCGTGACTGTTGCATGAATAACACTTTGTGTGAAATGTCCTACTGCAGCATCCCTGGGTCTGCAGTGTGTGCCTATGACATGCATGATGTCGCCATTGTTTTTACTGGGAGATTCAAAGAACAGAAGTCTCCAGATTCCACGTGGACACCAGTTCCTGATGAACGAGTGCCTAAGCCTAGGTACGTGCAGATATTTATACGGCTTTCTTGAATTTCTAGAAATGCTGCCATTTGCTCCCCTGATAATAAGCATCTCATAAACTGCACACTAGTGCCTTCCATGCTGGCCACGCAGATACAAATGCCAACACAATAGAAAGGCCGGTGAGGCCGTTTGCCTTCATTCCCTTAACCGAAACCCCAAATTACCTATAGTTGTATTCAAAACAGCGACTCTCTAGTCTTTTGCTTAGACTCTCTATCTGTGGATTATCCAATGCAATCCTAGGATGACAGGAATCATCTGGTCCAGCAGCCCCAATGGTCTATAGCTGACGAAATTGAGGCCCAGAGAGGTATAAAGTGAGTTGCGCAAGTTCACATCTCTGGGGAGATGATTTCCACCGCCCCTCCCCGCTTCTCTTCAGTTTTGCAGAGACCCATGTCTTTTAGCCTTAAAAAAAATGTAAAATATAAATGGTGTTCCCTGGAGTTTGTGACTAGACTGGATCAGAGCTGATCCCGGACTCTGGGCCAAGGGCAGCAGGTACAATGGGTCATTATTAGGATGTCTCTGGTCTGTCAGGTTCTGGTCTGCTCGGGGTCCAGATGCACTGTTGATTCTCCCCTCCCCAAAATGTGCCCCAGAAGTGCTTTCATGAGGAACCTATTGTTGAGAGACAATACAGAGACCTTTTGGTCCTGTGGAATATCTATCAAATCCTCACACTAAACCAGTTAACTCATTCCTCCTAACTGGGACAGGATGAAACTCTCTCCCAGCCCTGTGCCTGCCCTGTTTATGTGGCACACACTGCATACCTCCCATCACAGCATTCGAAATCTAAGTTATATAGAAACATCCCTGTGTGTTCGGCTTCCTCCACTTAATTTGTGGAAGGAAACCCAGTGTCTTCTAAACTTTTTTGGTTTCCAACTCTCTCCTCCGACATCCAATCCCCCACACAAAATACCCAGCCCAGGGCTTCCCTGGTGGCGCAGTGGTTGGGAGTCCGCCTGCCGATGCAGGGGACATGCGTTCGTGCCCCGGTCCGGGAAGATCCCACATGCCGCGGAGCGGCTGGGCCCGTGAGCCATGGCCGCTGAGCCTGCGCAGCCGGAGCCTGTGCTCCGCAACGGGAGAGGCCACAACAGTGAGAGGCCCGCGTACTGAAAAAAAAAAAAAAAAAAATACCCAGCCCAATTCACTTAATTGAACTAACTTAGATAATATGAAACACTGTTCCCATGGGAGAAACCCCTACAGTTCATCCATTTTCATCCCCTGAATTAAATGGCATGTGCATTCTCTGTTCTTTATGGAGAGCAGACTAGGTGTAAAAAGCATACCCTGGTAACCTCAGATAGCTTCTCTAAGTCATTGCCTAGGATTCTTAGCTACCTTCCAGGTAAGCAGGAAGGGGAGTTAAGCTTAAGGGATCAGGTTTCGGGAGTACTTATGTAATATGCTCCCCTGGGTATCGAAAGATGGTGTCACTCAGCTGTCACCAGGACACATACTTCAAGTGACTTTCTACTGGTGGCAGCATGTTTGCTTTCATCCTTCCACGTGCTGGCATGTCTCTCTTACAGATATCTGGGCGCTTTCACTGGCTGACTGGGTTAGTGCCATGAAAGCGTGTGCCTGGGGCTAGACCCTGCCAGTGTTGTCAGGGTCCACTTTTCTCTCCTGCACCAGTGGGCAAAGCAGGTGTCTGGACAAGACTGGTGCCAGTGTCTCTCTGATCTGACTTTGCTGAGATGTGCCCTTGACTCCTAAAACCACATAATTTCTTTTAGAAATGAATTTTCAGTGTCATTGTTCAGAAATTTTAAAAATGCCTTTTCAGGCAAGAATTTCATTGTAAATGGCTTTTCATACCTACCCAAATCAAACAAAAACAATAAAAAACAAAACCCAAATGTTCTCTGACCCCCTATTAATGAGAGATGGTTACACTGAGTCTAGCAGGTACGTAAGGCTGGCAGCTTTTTGAACGCCTTTGTTTTCTACATTTGTGAAAAAGCCCAATTGTCTCTTTTTGTGGAGCAAATGCCTCCAGAAATGCTAGCAGTGTTTTGCTTTTTGTTTTTTTTTTTTTTCTGTACGCGGGCCTCTCACTGTTGTGGCCTCTCCCGTTGCGGAGCACAGGCTCCGGACGCACAGGCTCAGCGGCCATGGCTCACGGGCACAGCCGCTCCGCGGCATGTGGGATCCTCCCGGACCGGGACACGAACCCGTGTCCCCCGCATCGGCAGGCGGACTCTCAACCACTGCGCCACCAGGGAAGCCCTCTAGCAGTGTTTTAAGACAGACAGAGCAGTCCCGGAGACGTGCAAACCAAACCCTCATTTGTTTCAAGCTCCATCACTGTTTATGGGGTGGGTCTGTGCTTCTGGCGGAGAAGCCAAGCTGCTCCCAGCCGAGGCTGAACTGTCCTGGCTCAGGCTTCTCTATGGAGTGAGGAGGTGGCCCTGAGGAAATCTAAGCACATTTTTTGGTGGCATTATGCATTGTTCAGCTTCCTCTTCTCAGCCTACGGTATATTCTCCCTCATGCAATACGCACAGAGAAGCAGTTCATTTAAAGAATTTGCCATAAAGCGTGATATAAGCCCCCTCCCTTTGTTTCTTTTTAGGCCAGGCTGCTGCGCTGGCTCATCCTCCTTAGAAAAATATGCAACCTCCAATGAATTTCCTGACGATACCCTGAATTTCATCAAAACGCACCCGCTCATGGATGAGGCCGTGCCCTCCATCATCAACAAGCCATGGTTCCTGAGGACGATGGTCAGGTGGGTGTCAAGCAAACCATGTCCTCACTGGATTTCCCCTGTTCCTTCCCATGCTTACAGAACCTATCATCAGTGGATCACAATTTGAAATGCCACAAACGTCTTCTCTTATCCTGGGCATTGATTCAGCTCTGAAGTCCCGGGCACATGGGTGGATGCCACCAAGCCCCATGACCACATTCCCAGTGAACACAGTTCAGATAGTTTCAGGCTCATTGGACACTTGCCAGCAATTAGAGAAACAAAGATATCTCCTTCTGCGTTAGCCTGTTCATCCCATGTGTGTAAGAGTAGAGGAGCAGTGAAGAGAATCAGTCAATGGATGTAGATACCTGTTTGGTTGGATATGGTTGCAAAACATGCTGCAGACGTCATCCGAGCACTGTCCCTAGATTGTTAGCTGTCATACGGAGCAGGGAGTAACGGAGTATTTGCACAAGTAAACCAGCATGAAGGGTTCATACTTTAGCATTTGTTGTCTGGAGTGGTGGCCAACGGAGAATGGATAGCTGCTTAGAAATCTGTGACAGCATTAAATACTCCTCCGTCTCATATTTATTTAGGGCTTACTGCCAAACAGTTCAACAGGCTTTCCCAAGTACCATCCAGTTTTGGCAGTCATCAAACAAAATGTTAATTAACTTTACCACCATTTTTAAACAGTGACTTGATTGAAAGATATTAAAGCAGTGGTTTGGCCAAAAGGTTCATTCCGTTTTTTCCATAAGATGGCTCTAGTAGAACTTAGTTGTCTTTAACTTCATTCGAAGCAATTTTGTTAGGTTGTATGTGACAGCTGTCGTATCAGTGTGCATTTTAAAAAAGACTTATGAAAATCGGTGAATTTTTGTGTAGCCATTTTAATACTGAAGATGAAAGAAAAAAAGCAACATTTTCGGCATATTATGCTGTATTATTTCAAGAAAGGTGAAAACACAACCGAAATGCCAGAGAAGATTTGTGCAGTGTATAGAGAAGGTGCTGTGACTGATCGAACCTGTCAAAAGTGGTTTGCGAAGTTTCGTGCTGGAGATTTCTCACTGGACGATGCTCCACGGTCGGGTAGACCAGTTGACGTTGATAGCTATCAGATCGACACATTAATTGAGAACAATCAACATTATACCACGCAGGAGATAACCAACATACTCAAAATATCCAAATCAAGCGTTGAAAATCATTTGCACCAGCCTGGTTATGTTCATCGCTTTGATGTTTGGGTTCGACATAAATTAAGCAAAAAAAAAACCTTGACCATATTTCTGCATGCGATTCTCCACTTAAATGTAATGAAAACGCTCCAGTTTTGAAACAGATTGTGACGGGTGATGAAAAGTAGATACTGTACAATAATGTGGAATGGAAGAGATCGTGGGGCAAGCGAAATGAACCACCACCAACCACACCAAAGGCCGGTCTTCACACAAAGAAGGTGATGTTGCATATATGGTGGGATTAGACGCGAGTCCTCTATTATGAGCTCCTTCCGGAAAACCAAACAGTTTCAACGATTACTGCTCCCAATTAGACCAACTGAACACAGCACTTGATGAAAAGCGTCCAGAATTATATGATGCATTAGATAGTGCAAGAGCGCGTGTCTCTTCAATGACCAGGCAAAAAAACTGTTATGGTTTGGCCAGGGTTCTGATTCATCTGCTGTATTGACCAGACATTGCACCTTCGGATTTCCATTTATTTGGGTCTTTACAAAATTCTCTTAATGGAAAAATTTCAATTCCCTGGAAGACTGTAAAAGGCACCTGGAACAGTTCCATGCTCAAAAAGATTAAAAGTTTTGGAAAGATGGAATTATGAAGTTGCCTGAAAAATGGCAGAAGGTAGTGGAACAAAAGGGTGAATATGTTGTTCAGTGAAAATGAAAAATGTGTCTTTTATTTTTACTTAAAAACCGAAGGCAGATTTTGGGCAACCCAATACTATAATGGCTCTTGCCCATAAGATGGAAACCATGGTATGTAACTTGCAGAAGAGTCCATGTTTCCTGGTTCCTGCCATGATGCTTAAGGAGAGTGGAGTGTTGAACGGCTATGGGATTTCAGAGAAGGAGCATGCCCAATAGGACTTATCTAGGCAGGCAATAGGACTAATGCCCTTCACCTTTAGCTTTAGGTGGATCTTGTTTGGCTTGTATATCCATTTATTTATTAATATTGCCATGAGCACTCTACCTCCCCATCCTTCAGAACTCTCTACCCCTCTGTACACAAACAGAAAGCTTTCCAGTCTGACATTCTGTTGACAAGTCTTGGCACCTCAGAGGAAGAGTATGGAAAAATGGTAGCCGCTGCTTTTCTTTTCAGTGTTCAGTGAAATGTTAGCTGTGATCGCATAGTGGTTAGTACTTTGCATTGCGAAATGTTAAATGAATTCACTTATTATTTCTTCCCCTCTTCACAGCAGACATCAGTCTTTCCTTGTTGTTCATGGAAGGGATAATTGCTGAGTGGTTTCAGATGGTGATGGCTACGTATTTATTATGTAACTTGGCCTCCACACATACATACCTCTTTCCTCCCCCCTGGAGCCATACTAATGCTCTACATATGGAAATAAAGGAGCAGAACAGCTTGAGAGCATTATTTATATGCATATATTTTTCTTGAGGTTATTACTAGAAAGCTCTATCCCAATTGTTTGAAGTGGAAAAGGGGACACTTTAATGAAAGACCAACGAAGAGATAAAAAATGTGATCCTGTCATTTTAGATACCGCCTGACCAAAATTGCGGTGGACACCGCTGCTGGGCCATATCAGAATCACACTGTGGTTTTCCTGGGATCAGAGAAAGGAATCATCTTGAAGTTCTTGGCCAGGATAGGAAACAGTGGTTTCCTAAATGACAGCCTTTTCCTGGAGGAGATGAGCGTCTACAACCCTGAAAAGTGCGTAGAATGTTTGCTTCTTTCCTAGTAACTATTCGTTACTTTATTACCTTTTCCATTCAGAGAAATCATGGCAGACTTAGATTTTATGCACTTAGGTGACTTGTAGTATTATTTGTAAAAATCTTTTCATAACATTAAAAGCATTACTTTCTCCTTGCTAATAATGTGTGTTTATATAAACACATACATTGTGTGTTTATGTGTATGTGTGTGGGGGGGTGCACACATAAGGTTCTGTTTCCCGTTCAGTTGGATCAGATTAAGAGATCTGACCTTGTGCGCTGGGAGGTGGGCTGTAAGGGTGGTGGCAGGAAAGAGAGAACTGACCCAAGAGAGACTATGAATGATATTATCCTGCCTTATAAAATTAGGTGCAGCTATGATGGAGTAGAAGACAAGAGGATTATGGGCATGCAACTGGACAAAGCAAGCAGCTCTCTGTATGTTGCATTTTCCACTTGTGTGATAAAGGTTCCCCTTGGCCGGTGTGAACGACATGGGAAGTGCAAAAAGTATGTATTTGCCTCATTGATCATTAGCAAGTCCACGGTGCTTAGAAAAGAGTCCTAGGTAGCTCACAGTCATCCTCTTCCTACAGAACCTGTATCGCTTCCAGAGACCCCTACTGTGGGTGGGTAAAGGAAGGAGGTGCCTGTGCCCATCTGTCACCTGGCAGTAGGTAAGGAGCCCGAGGTGTGGGAGAGTATAAAGCGGCCTAGACGTACAATAAATTGCGCTCACACACACCACCGCCACTCAGCCTTCTGTGCACAAACCTCATCAATACGACTGCTGGCCGTTCTCCCTCCTTTTCCCATTTCATAGAACAACCCAACATCAGGTGGCAGATTTCCAATTGATTAATCATCCATCCTCAGACTAATTAAAAACAGAAAGAAACAACACAGTGGACTTCTAAGTATTCCCTGGAGAGAGGGACAAGATGGTACATGCCTGGATCATCACAGTGCGAGAACAGCAGAGAAAGGGAGCAGGAGGGTACCAATTAGATTAGCGATGTGGTTTGTCCAGCCACAGCAAAACTGGCTCTTCTAATTGACCATCCAGGGCTGAGAAGAAACTGCCGAGCATTTGTTAAGCAATGCGTTTGTACTGCAAGCACAGTGTATACAGGCAATAAACCTCTCCCCTGCACTGAAGAACAGTTGACCCTATTACTCATTAGGCAGTAAAATCAATTCTTGGCATTTCTCCAGCAGATCAGCTAGATCAAGCTAGTCTGCCATGCATGTGATTTTGATGCTTAGAATTGTTACCCTGACTTTAAACGCCTGGATGGTATTAGCTCAAAGGTTTTATGCTTTTACTTCAGTGGATGTGAAATCCAAAGTGACATTTGGAAAAATAGTCAACGCATGTCCTTGACAGGTTATGGCAATTCAAGGAAAGTGCCAGATGGCAGCACAGTTCTTTCTTAGCCATTTCTTCAACTTCCTCTGATCTAAAGGGCGAAAAGGATGGTCCTCACATCACTCTGAGCCTCCTCTCCCATTTGAGAATAGCTAGTCAACAGACAGGAGGGCATATCTGATGACCACCTGCATAATTTGAGGGAAAGTATTTCCATATACAGAGCTAATGGTAACTAGCAAGTCTGACCTGGAAATTTGACTAATGCAAAGGGTTGACTCACCATTTACTATTAGATCAACTTTGTGAGTAGCAATATTGACCTACTACAGTGTTAAAGCTTTGCATCTTTTCACCGGAACCTTGAAGTGAAGGAGAAAGGATCACAATGCACAGCGAGGGAAGCTGAGAAATGACCTGTCTCCTTTCTTTAGTCAAGGTGTGACCAAAAGTAGGCAGACTGATTTTTAAGAATCATTTTAAAGTCAACATGAGAACATTTCATTGTTCAAAACATGTGGAACTCTCTTTGGAAAGTGGCCTTCAGGGCCTGGTGCATACTGGCTTTCATTAGCACTAGAAATCTTTAGCCTTTGAGGATGAATTTGATTTTTAATACAACACAAAAACAGTGGAAAACAAACATGGTGCATTATTAGATCAAGGTGTGACTTTCCAAAAAGTTTTCCTATATGGCTCATAAGTAAACTCTGAAGGCAGTTACAAAACAGGAGTTTCAGTTATGGTGTAGAAAGAAGCGCAAAGTTCCCCCCAAAAAAGGACAAGACTCCTTTGGAGTATTCCAGTGTGCTTACTTAAAAATCAAAATACATTCTATTAGGATTGATCTTATTAATGGCGTTAATAGCTTATACAGCCCAAAGGTGACCTTATAAGAAGAGTGAGCCTGTAGGGGAGCATGACGGCAATACTCCTGAGGACTGGGCCTGGGGCAGGAGTGAACGAAACACCTGAGTGGTCTCAGCAAAATGCACCGCCATGTCCATCCTCTCAGGGTCCCACATATCCGCTGACCGTCTGAACACTTTGTTATACAAAGCTACTTCTAAGCAAAGAAACAAGTAAAGGTCTAGGAAGGCAAGAGTTGGGGCAAAAGAGAGGAAAAGACTTTTTTCTAATTTAGAGACGTCTGTATCACTTACGTAAGGAGTGTGTGTTAACATGTAAACTTAGATATTTAAGAAATGCTCAGGGCATCAGAGGCAAAGAGTGATATAGGTAATCCACAAACTAATTAACTCCCTGAATAATACCTGAATTAACTGTCTAAAACATGGCTTCTCTTGGGAGATTCACAAAGGACCCATTTCTGTAAGCTTTGGAGATAAACTTTTGAGCCGTTACCTACTTTTTTGGCATCTGTCACTCAATTTATCAAACTGTGTTAGTTGCTTTAGTGAAACTTGAGATGCATCCTGCAATAGACTCATATCATTGAATTTGTGTCTCTCTCTCTTCTCTTCCCTCCTTTGTTTTGGAAGACTGACTTTTGAACAGGACATAGAGCGTGGCAACACAGATGGCCTGGGAGACTGTCACAGTAAGTAGAGCTTTTTATCCATTTGGGTATTTATTCTATAAAAAAGATGCTTTTATAGACTGGCCTAGAAACATGACCCCACATGTGAAACTGAGTGCAGCTGCCTCTAAAACATGCATAAATAACAGAAATCACCTTCTAAATATCAAAGAAAACTGTGTGTTTTGAAGCCTCTGTTGCCGATGCTGTTGCCGTAAGTGCTGGCACCTATATTCATTTGTTCACATAGAGTGAACAAATTCACTCTAGAGGATGTCTACTACAGCAGAGCAGTAAGTTACATCAGCACTTCCATTTAAAACCAGTTTTGTTGTTTTTAAAGATATGTTATTGCCATGATTTTCAGCCAAATAATAAAAAGACTGATCACTGTACTCTAGCTTTTTAATTGAATGGGACTATTTTATTTCTCTTGAACGTATCGATTAACAAAATTATTTTTTAAATTAGATTTAGGTTTATTACCATTTGCAGTAGAAAAAAATTTCAGAAAGAACCCACTACATACAAGGTGACTCAAAATAACCTTTTTATAAGAACTGACCTGCTATACTAATCTCAGAGGTCATTTCAAAAGTTATTACATGCCAACGTTTTAGTTAGAACTTTATATAAAGGAACCTGGTCAAAGGTCTGCCCAGTTGTCCAGTGATCTGATTAGTATCAATATTCTCCTGAAAATGCTTTATTAATGCTAATTTAGAGAATAATGCCATACTCTTGGAAAACATTTAGTTTGCCATGTTTTAAATGTTGTATGTGATAAAGTTCAAGAAGCCTGTATTCAGAATGGCACCAAAAATAGCTCCTAAGGGAATGAAACTATATTACTTCTGATATTTGATTTGATAATGAAAATCATGGATATAACTCTAAATCTTTGAGCCATGTTCTAGAGAACAGACATAATCAAATAAATAGGGCCACAGAGCCTCATCTCCAAATTCTTGGTCATATTTTGTTTGTTTGTTTGTTTGCAAATATATACCGGAAAAAGCTTCTTGTCTTCACACACAAACTCTGAATTAAGAAATTAGCATAGGGGGCTTCCCTGGGGGCGCAGTGGTTGAGAGTCCGCCTGTCGATGCAGGGGACACGGGTTCGTGCCCCGGTCCAGGAAGATCCCACATGCCGCGGAGCGGCTAGGCCCGTGAGCCATGGCCGCTGAGCCTGCGCGTCCGGAGCCCAAAAGCTCTGCTATGTGTCTGCAGTGAAACAATGTGATGTTTGATTTGGTGGCTCTTGATCATGTTTGTGCCTTATGGCCCCATTTTTAGGGAATCAGGTTTCGGTTGGTATGTATGTCTGAGTGAACTTAATTAGCTGTTTTTAGTGAATAATTTTCTCCATATTTTTATGATTCGATGATATAGGCATCTAGAAAAATAGGGGTGTCAATTTGGATTGAATAGGTAAATATATGAAAAATGTGAAAGTGCTACTGGCTCTCTAGAGCATCCACTACACCAGCAGGCTTACACCACGCCTGGGTCCTCAGGCAGAGTGCAGGGCAGACCCTCAGGCCCCAGGCCAGTGATTTACTCTTCCGTCTCACTGGTCAAGCCTCTGTGTTTCCGTGTGCTCGGTAACTCGATCCCCGCTCCTGCTGAGGCACGTAGGGTGCCTGCTCCGGGCAGGAGGTAATGCCTTTCCTAGTGGCTTCTCTGCTCCTGGGCGCCCACTGGAGCATGACCTACTTCTGTCAGACATATCGAGTCACACACAAGCATTCAAAGGATTTAGATATTTGGTACACAATGACTCTTTAACAGGAGTTTTAGGGAAAATGACGAAACCATAAAGAGCCAGTGTCAGAGGCTGAGTAGCAGGCTGAGTGAACAAGTGACGTGACCCAGACACACAGCGGGGGCACGCACGTGCACACACACACACAAATGTATGTTGCCTGTATGTGTGATTTTTATTTTTGTTAATTTCCTAACTAAAACTCCTGCTGAGTTCAGAACATTGTGATACCGGACAGTTGCTCACAGCATGGTTGGGAGGATGAAATGAGAGAGAATGTAAAGAAAATGTGCTTTGTAAGTGTGGTCCAGATGTGACTCACTTTATCCACATACACATCCCTCTGATTGGAGTAGGGCTTACCTATAATCGCAGCTACCATTCCTTCCACTAACTTGCTTTTTCTCTGCCTCTTGGAAACAAAGGCATGACTTTGAGGAAGCTCACTTGGGAAAGAGATAGTATAAGGATATGAAATCGGACCAAATATGAAGCATCTTCTATTACAAGCAGAAAGTAAAAAGCGCTTACTTAGTATTGGGGATCGTATGTTAGCACAGCTCTGTATCAGCTCACTCCCACTTATTACGGAAGTCACACTGAGCAGAGTGTTAAATGTTAAGTAACCTACTCCTCCCTTCTGTCTTTCAGATTCCTTCGTGGCACTGAATGGTAAGGAAGATATTACTCATAATTTAATAGCAATGGAAATATATTTGAGAAATCCTGTTTCACTAAACCTCTTGAGTATTTTCGAATTTTACGTTTATTTTTAAATTAATTTTTAAATTCTCATTATTTTTTATAGACATTTCAACTCCTCTACCAGATCATGAAATGTCTTACAACACAGTATATGGTCAGTTTATGGGTTGTTTCTTTTTTATTCTTCGAGCCATTCATCCTGTGGTAGTTTATAATCTTCATTCCTAAACATCATGGACCAGATTCTTTGCTACTTCAGGGCCCCAATTCACTAAAATTATTCATAGATTTCATGATGCTTCAAAAATTACTCTACATATATGAGACAACTGACATGTGAGAATGAGTCCTACATTTTTAATCCACAGAACATGAAATATGCCAACCTTAGGGAATTTGGTGAATGCATTTAATGAGTTCTTGAGGGAGAAGAAATTGCTTCTGGACATAAGTACATCCAAGATAAAAGAATAGTGCTTATAACTCATAGGCCATAGCTCCTTAACTGACAGTATCATTCCCCAAAATGCTGACTTTCAGAACAATACCCTCTGCAGGAAAATCTATACAGAGTGCAGATACTAAGTTCTTATTAGGCAAAACTTTCCAATATAGCCATCGAAATTTAATCACACAAAGAGTATGAATATGTAGACGTATCTTCAGTGAAACGTCTTTAAATGTATACAAGGAAGAGTGACGCAGTGGAAATGATGTGCAAACAGGATTTACCCCATTGTTCCTGCTCTGAAATATACAGACACTATACTAAACAAAGCCATTAAGTCCATAAACAGACTATTCTGAACTCTTTAGAAGAAAAGTTAAACTGTAGTTGAAATGTTCCAGTTCCATTTCTCAAAGCCTCCCCAAATGTTTATTAAGGTAAACTATTCATGTGCTTTTTACAGATAATGAACAACATATATGTAATGGGAAATTTAAGCTTCTGCATTATGATGGGGACTACAAGCTTCACTGATACACATTTTATAACTTATGTTGAAGACGTGTAACAATAACAGCTCTAGGTCAGTCTTTAAATGTAGAGGTAGGTAATAGAGGAAGGGGACAAAATAAAGAAAAGAAAAAAAGAGGAAGAAAAGAAAGCAAGGTGGCTTCAGGATTCAAAAAAATAGTTCAAGATGGCTACAAATACATCTAATAGCTCTGTGGACACTCTCACTCCTGTGTCTAATTAGCATAAATAAAAAGCCTCTTTGAAAGTCCTAAAGACTATCTTATAAACTGGGGCTGTGCAGGTAGGGAAAACAATGCCCGGTTTCTCCTGTCGTGAAGTGAGGCAGCATGGCGTAGATGAGCCCACTGAATTCATCCACCTTTACCATTCTCTCGTCTATGATTCAAGCCAGAATGTCAAACACCAACAGCTGGAAGAAACACTTCTCAGGAGGCAAGTGTCATCTAGCTTAGCTTGCCCTTCACAAAGAGAACCCACTTCGCATCTGCACTTCTCCAATATCATACTTTGCAGTCATTTCCTATAATTGAATAATCTTTATCAGATATTGAGAAATTCAGGTCTTGAATCTAACTGAACCAGTAACCCCAGCATTCATCAATAGTACTACGGCCAATTTTAACTCCCAGGTAATTTCTCATATAGATAGAATAATTAAACCATGGGATGCTCTTGCTCTTTATGAACAAAAATCACTCTTCAATTTATGGATCTCTCTTACTGCCTTTATAAAAGGAAAGGAACTTATTAATTCCTCTGTGTTAACACTTTAAAGAACAATGCCCATTCGCTCGGTCAGCGGTTTCTGTGATGAAACTAAAGAAGAGTTGGAATTTTCCTTTCAACTGATGACCCTGTCCATTTCAGGCTCAATCTCTCCCGGGTGTGAAGGGGTTAGATGATTAACTGACCATCAACATGAGGGCTGGTCCAGACAGTACTTACAAAAACAGAGGAGACTTTCTTTTCACAAACTACTGCAAGAGATGCTTATTTTGGAGCTAATAAACCTAGAAGAGATTTAACTCATTCATTTGTAGACATTAGTTTAGTGCTTACTATGTGCCAGGTACTGGACTAGGTGCTATATTTGAACCATCAAAGAAAAAAGCAAATTGCTGTTTTTATGAGCATGGATGTAGACTAGGAAGCCAACCCCAAAGTCCAAAATGCACCCACTGTGTCTAGCTGTGTCCTTTGCATGTTCCCATAAAAAGTTCAGTGGCTGAGTACAGACTCATAGGGTGACCCGCAGAACCAGAACTGCCTAACTCTGAAAAAGGGATCGTTCAGTAAGCCATGCAGACTCTCTGTGTGGCAAAAGCTCTGTGCAACACCACTTACATATACAAGAACCCTTTTTTAGTGAATTGGACCCTGATTATCTTCCTTCTCTCATCCTCTCTTGTATTGATTTAGTGTCTCTTCTGTGTCTAACTGGGTACAATCATTGTTAATAGGTTAGAGTAGTTTGAAGGATCTCTAACCTCTAGAATTACAAAGACTTGTAGATATAGAGAAACAATATGATGCATATTAAAGTTAACTTTTTAAATATTTCTTTGTATATTATAAGAATAATACACCATAAGCTCCATTGATGATAATATGACTTTTCATACTGGATTAACAACACAAAATTATAGGTTCCAAATTGTTGACATGTAATACCATATCCACAAACGATTGCCTATTTTTGTAGCATTATTTTGGTTACAGTCTCTTAGGGAATGCACAAAAACAATATAGCCTGTAGAATCAGATTCTAAGAAGGAATATAAGTGATTTCCTTTTAACAGGTGGAGAGGTAGTAATAATACACCTCTTTGATTTCAAACTAAGGATGGCTGCTTCATGGTGCTTCTACATGGTAGTTCTAAAATTCTTGAGAATCAGGCATTGCTTTCTCCGACTGTTTGCTTCACCCATGACACACATTGCCTGTCCTCAAGCATAAGTTTAAAAGATTACAAACCTCATGCTGCGCTCTTTTTTTTTCCATTTGAGAACATCAGATGCATGGTTTCTCTAGATTTACATGTAGAATATGGAGATGTGGTGGGTATTAGACTAACACTTCAGCAATAGGCAGGAGCTGATTTCTCACATTTGTGTGAAACATTTTCCTACCTAACTACCATCTGGTCCACATTAATTTCCTCTCATAGCCATAGCTTTCCATTACCAATGAGTTTTCCAGATATTTGCAGCATATGGTCCAGGAAATCTTTCTACAGAGAATGTGTCCCGTAGGCATCTATTTCCCCTAGATTACCGTATTAAGAAATGTTCTCCCTAAACCATACTTAATGGCATTACCATAAAATTGCCCCTTGAACACAGTTAAATTGAAAGTGCTCAAAATGCATATCAATTCAGGTAAAAGAAATTCTTGCTACTTGGAGGAGAGGCTTCTATTTTTCCTTCCCCCCTTCCTGACTCCCTGCAAAGCTATTTCTAATTGTTTGCTTAGGCTGGGTGCTGAAGTCTCTTAGGTTGACCGTATACTGCACGAGAGCATTGTTGAATTCAAGAGTAGAAAATAGGGCTATATTTTAGACCTCAATATAAGCATAAAGGAAGTAAAAGAAAGTCTGTATTGCCAATTCCAGGTTAATAATTTTCCTACCCTTGTTCTCTTACCAGTATTGGGAGATGAGATGTGAAACCCAGAAATATAAGAACAAAAAGTCTAGACGCAAGAATTCTTTACTTTTCAATGAACAGGTTTTTAGCAGTTGGATGCGAACTAGACTATTTGCAACAAAGCGGGTATTTGAAGCTGTGGAAGAGCCAAACAAGCTCTACACAGAAAGGGGCCTCTTAGATGTTACCAAAGCTTTGTGGTAACACTTCAAGTGTGGAACCTCCATGGAAATCCTATAGCTTAGATAAGCCACTTGGCTGGCTTGCTTTTCCCCGCTTTATTCATACACACACACACGCACGTGTGTGTATGCACAGTATGTAATTTACAGTATTAAAGTCTCCTAGGAATCCAACTTCCAATCATAATTGTAAAGGAGAAGAATGCAGTGCATTCATTATAATCTTTCTTTCTGGTGGCTAGTATCATATTTATCACATATGCGGTGATCACAGCCCAAGGCTGGAGCCACTTGTGAATCTGTCCTACTTTCTACCAGAGGCCCCAATTACACATTCACAGTGGTTGCCTTGATGTCTTTTTAAAAATTGTTCAAGAGGCTGCTGTAGGTAAGATGCTTTAATAAGCCAAAGACTCTACTGGAAAATCACAGAGAGGTGATTTTTTATTTCCACCAGAGAGAACAGGTAGTGGGGCTTCTTTAAATCATTGTGACAGCTTAGATCAAAGCACCAGATATGATCTGCATTTAACCTTGTGGAATGATGGGGGGGAAAGCTTAGAAATGTGTTCACAGGAAACATCCAGTTTCTGCCATAACTCCCAACCTAGCCATTCTTCCTCTGGCATTATCCTAGGGTTGGCCGCTCTGGATCTCAAAAAGCTATCCCTTTCTAATCGGAATTGGATCAATCAGTGTGGCCTCAGAAAACCACCTCTCACTAGTATGAGTCATGAAACCATGAAACTAACTTGGCTGGAATAAGACACAAAAGGCACAGCCATAACAACATGGAGCAGTTGAGGCCTCTGTTCCAGGAAGGAGGGGGTGGGAGCAGATCCCTTTAGAAAGCAGTCACTTCCCCCGCAAAGAGGAACGCCTGTGAGGCTGAGTTGCAGCTGAAAACCAGACACATCCTCCATGGGAAAGGCTCAGGGCGGCTGAGCTGTTTGTGACGGGGCAGAGGCTCACCCACTACCATAAACCTGCCCCATCCATCACAAACGCTGTCCCCAGAGTGGACACATTCTACCTTAGTGCTGCTGTGCGAATACCAAAGAAGGACTCGGATACTTCTTGAGCGCTTACTGTGTGTCAGATACTGTTAGGTACTTTCAACGTGATGTCACTTTATCCTTCCAACACTGGGAGGTAAACGACATCATCTCCACTTCGTGCACAGGGAAAACCAACCAAGGCCCAGAGAGCTTAAGGGATTCCCTCAGGCTCAGCAAACAGCAGAGACGAGATCTGGCCCTTCATCCTCTAACTACAAGTACAAGGGGTCTTCTGCTGAATCCTACCCACCAGTCTTGTTATTTCTAGGACAATCTCAGGGGTCTTCTGCTGAATCCTACCCACCAGTCTTGTTATTTCTAGGACAATCTCCTTTGAGTCTTTTACAGCCAGTGTGGGTGTCCAACCTCCTGGCCTCCGAGCAAAGGGAGAGCGGGTGTCTCCGGTGATGTTTTCCCTAACTATATTTGTGATGAAAACAGGGCACTCCAGTTCCCTCCTGCCCAGCACCACCACGTCCAATTCGGCGGCTCAAGAGGGGTATGAGTCTAGGGGAGGAATGCTGGACTGGAAGGATTCACCTGACAGCACAGACTCTTTGGGGGCAGTGTCTTCCCATAATCACCAAGACAAGAAGGGTAAGGCCTTGGAAGTACCTCTTCCTCTGGGGGGAGAGGGAGGGAAAAGTGGGGAGGACTACGGAACTGCTTCCAGCTGAATCATAGCAGCATTTAAGGAACGAACCTCCAACACACTATGATTGAAAGCGTCTCAGAAAAGGCTGCAACCCGATCCTCTATGCTAGGCTTGATCCACAATGATTCCCTGACCAAGGAGAAACCACACAAAACAAATAACACAGCCTCTAAGCTTCCTCCACCCAAGAGAGGCATGGCTTGGCCCAAAGCAGATACTGGCCGCTGAGATCCCTTTCCACTCCTCTTAGCTCGTTCAGTGATTTCTGGATCCTCTCTTCCCCCCATAATGGGATGGAATGCGGTGCGGGCTTTGGCAAGTACATGTAATCAAAGTAAAAGCCCGTTTAATCAGTGAATGGAGAAATAGCAGAGTTGAGTCTTTTCTGGCTGGTAGCATCCCTCACTCTCGCATGGTGCTGAATTTGAATAGAGCTGAGGTCCTGGGACGCACTTCATTGCCCTTAGAGGATAACAGCTAAAACAAAAATATGTTATTTAATCAAGCAGAATTGCTATGCATTTAAAATGGAAAGGAAGCTGCACTAAATGAAAGGGACTCTACTGTGAACTGTCCTAAATTCTCCCTGGCTTTCTTTGCTCAACTAGAGACAGGAAATGTCATCTCTTTTCTCGCCATTTGCTGCTTCTGGTAACACATCCTACTTTAGTTGCAGCTGCAACCAAAGAGGCCTTTACTTGTCCAAAAAAGTCTTGTAAATCAGAGACTGAAAAGCTCAGTTATGTTGCGAGCTGTTTCCCCCCATTCAGCCTTGTTTACTTCTATATGTTTTCAAGAGTTTCATCCAAGCAGGGATTTGAGTCTCAAGGGCAGACCAGCCACAGTGACCCTTGGAAGACAGTCTCTATCGTGTCTTCCCCCAGGGTTTTCTGTATACATATTTCCATCTTTACTTTTAGAGAATGTTTGCTAGGCAGACTCACACACTAAATTTTCACCTTTTTTTTTTTGGCGGCTCATCTCCTGAGAATGTCGTACCTTCTGCTGCTACATGCCAAGCCCAAAATGGGAAGATGTAGTCCTTTTAACTTTTTTTTTTTTTTTTTAAGTCTTTACTGAATTTGTTACAATATTGCTTCTGTTTTAGTTTTTTGGCCGCAAGGCATGTGGGATCTTAGCTCCCCTACCAGGGATCAAACCCGCACCCCCTGCGTCCGAAGGTGAAGTCTTATCCACTGGACCGCCAGGGAAGTCCCTTAACTCGTTCTTTAATATATCCCCTTAATTGATTTTATTATTCTTCTATAACTTCTTACTGTTAATATGTCCTGCCCCAATCTTTTTTTTTTTTTTTAAGTGGCTTTTGTCTCAGCAGCCTCTAAATTGGTGGGATCCCTGCTCTTAACCATCACAAGAAAGCACCAGGCCAATTCGTGACGGGGCAGAACTATCCCAGCAGGCCACCAGCCCTAGCATGTGCCATTATTTGTTCTGTGTGGCTCCCGACCGCAGATGTGTTAGTCTTGGCCGAGTTCTCAAGAACAGACAACACAGTAAAAATCACTTTGTATTTGCCCACTGCAACTTTCTGAAAAACCAAACAGCCTTTCCAGTAAAGCATTAAATATGTCAACCAAATATCTAGCTGTTGGTTACAGTCATTTCCTCTTCGCTTCACTGAGACGGATGGTGTGAATTTTCTCCAATCGTTACCTCTCCCGAGGGAGGGAGGTTATCAAAGAGTCCAATTAACACTTTGACAGATCATTTTAAAATTCGGCATTGTTCATTCTCTTGGGTCTTATTATGAATATTGACAAAGCTGGAAGCAGTCTACAGATTGTCAAACAATGGTGGCAGAGGTGATTGCATGGGTGTTTAACATGATCACTGTTCTCGTGCTATTAACTCCTTGCCTTGCCCTGTCAAATTTGAGCTTCATTTTTGACAACTGATTACGTGTGTATTTGATAGGGCAATGACAATGAGTTGTTATGCAGAAACTTTAAAAATAAAAAAGTAATGTAGCTTGATGTTCCTTTTGTCATGATTTTTTATGATTTTAATTTCCATTTTGCTCTGAAGTGTTTTTCTGTTTAATGTTCATGATTTATTTTGAACTTTTGTTTTGCCAAGCACTGTGTGGTATGACTTGGTGATGGCGTTACTTCTCCGTTGGAAAAGTCTTGTTTCTTTTCTGACTCATGATTACGTCCTTTAACTTGACCCAATCTGTGATCCCCTCGCTTCTTTCCATTCCCTGACGTGGGTGCCTTAATGATGTCACATCCAGGTGTGCAGCACCTCCTGGGATGCAAGAGTTTAATGGGGTTTCTGCGGGCCTCTGGTGGGTGCTCTTTTCACTGGGCCAATTGTCTTATGGGAATGTGACATTTGTGTGCCCCAGCTTTAGGAGCTAAATATACTCTGGAACTGTTTGTAAAATACCGCACATTTCCCCACTAAGCAGAAAATGTGTCTGCTGACCAGCTAGCTGAGGAGTCAAGTGTCCCATGCCCTTTTCACTTTGGCTGCTGAAAAAAGACCAGTGAGCAAACGAGCCCAGAGCTCTGCTCTGCAGAAATGTTGAGCACCACTGGGTTGATCCCACTCCGGGTCCCAGCTCATCCTCCAAACAGTTCTGCATTTCCAGAGTATGTTTGCTTGCCTTTTTCTTTCTTTTCCTTGCTGTGTCTTTCGTCTTGATTTAATCCTGTGCGTCCCTCACGTTCTGTCAAAGCACTGTTCCTCACCTTGCAATCTAACCCCCTTCTGCTACCATTGTTCTTAGCCTCCCCCTTTCAAAATAATAGACCCAAGCCCTCTGCCCCTCTGTGGAACGTTCCAAGGCTCTTTCCTTCTACACTGGGGGTAGCATTCCGATGCTGTATGTATATATATATATACAGCCATACTAACAAAGCGTGAGAAGAGAGCTACAAAGCACACACAAGTATTATCACAGAAAATGAAGTAATTTTCTCGCTCAGTAACTGGCCTTGTCCTTCATTACCCTACTGGCCTTGTCTAATATCTCTTGTCCTTGCTGCTTTTCTTTAAAATTGCCTGATATCTTTCAAGCGCTAGATTCATTAGTAAAAACACAGCCAACTGCCCTGTTTTATCTCTGGCTCCCTAGATGTCTGGAGCCTCTAGAGCCAGCCCTTTAACCACCAAGTTGATAGATTAGGAGCAGCCCTGGCTACTTCTTTCTTGGTTTTGCCACATTTAAAAATATATATTATTTATTCATCCTATAACTATCGAGGTGGTAATGAGTAGTTACAAAGGGGCTCTAATTACATATGAATAAGAAAGAAAATCCAGTTTATTTTTAGATCTGGCTTGTCTCCCCTCATCTCCTTCCCACAGCAAGAGAAATAAGAGCTTTCTTTTCTAGGTTAAGCAATACTGGGAATTGATAGCCACTCCTGTGCCTCTTGTTTCTGACCAAAAGCAATAATCCTCCAAAACCTGATTTCCAAGAAGACTGCAAGATAGGTGAGGAAATTAGCCAGGGACAGATTTGCCAAGAGAGCTGTGTAGCATAAATGTCTAATGTAATCATGGACCACTGCCACAAAGACACAAGAATAAATCAGATTAGAAGAAAATCCCCTACTTCAGAGTTTATTTTCTAGAGTTCTTGTGAGCTCTCAAAAAACTGATGAAATAGTCAATATATACAAAAATGTTCCCATTTGATTGGAAATGCCAGAGCTTATATATGTGCTTATATATTTTGGGAAATCTTTAAAACAAGATATTATCACATTATTATATTTAGTCAAGAAGATGTCATTACAGACAAGGAAAAGATGTAGAAACAGAATTTAAATTAGGGATCAAATGAATAATTTAACCTAAAATGTACAGCAAATGGTGAATATATGTTAATCAATGTACAAGCTATTTTGTAAGCAATTTTTAGTTTGGGAAATAACATTCCGGTAAGATTCAGAAGGTCTATGAAGAATGATGAGTATACTGGCCACACTGCATGACAATCCTGAATGGAACTGTATAAATCATAGAGTTTATCAACAATCCTCTCTACAGTCAATTATTTATTCCTCAAAGGCATCACAGCCTCCAAGTAGGCCATGTCACATCTTACATGAGCTGATTTAGATGGTTCAGAGACACCATGGCCTTCAAGAATACTGAATCATGTGGTGGAAAGTTAACACCCCTTTCATTTCTCTTTCCATCTTCTTGGTTATGTCAAGGCAAAAGTCTCAGTTTGGTGCTTTAGCAACTCCAGAAACTTGCTACTACCCTTCTGAGGAGAAAGAACAGGCTTTAGATTGGGGGCTTTGCCATGCAGCTGGAGCTAGCTGGAACAAACATTGTTTTGCTTTCAGTTAATTTTATTTTTATGGTTACCTTCTATTTATGAAAAGTGACACTTTTTTCCATTTATGATAATTATATAAAGTTTCCACTGGAAACTCACCTTAAAGGTAATTTAAATAAAATATTAAGTAACTACTAATTCAGGAAGTATAGGGACACAGAGGTATAAAAAGTAAATAACATGGTAAGTGAGGCTCATTGATTTCACTAGGACTGTAGCATTGGTAGCTGATGAGTAAAGTGTGGGTAACTCTGGCCTGGAGCAATTTAAAAAGTCCAGTGATGATTAACCTAGACCAAAACTGTGCTTCTGGCATTTGGAAGAACGAGACTGAATAATGGCCCTACCTTCTAGCTGGGCTCTGAGCCCTGCAGTTATACGACCTGGTGTTCTTCTGATTTCTCTTCCAACTACTGAGCTTTGTGATTAGGGATGAGAAGTTTGGTCAAGTAGGAATTGAGAGTAAAATGGATTTAGACTAAAAAGAGATTAGTCATTCTAGGCTTGTTAAGCATCTGGCGAGATGATTCTCCAGACCAGCAGTGAGCATCCAAGTGTAGACAGTAGCTCGTTATTTCCCAAATTGTGGCCCGGGGAAAGTTTACCTCCAGCACTTCTGCTTCC